CATTTAGTACTTTTCGTACAATTATAGTACGCACTTCCAAAAACCAACTCCATATCCCAATTCTAGATACCAACAGAGACCTCAATATTAAATTTGAGGATTTCACACCTATCCCTTCGCCTAATATCAAATTTAGTATCATTTAGTACTTTTCGTGCCAACATAGAACGCATTTCCAAACCACCACCTAATTTGTTAATATTCGATTTCAGAATTTTATATCTATCCCTTCACCCAAGACCAAATTTAGTACCATTTAGTACTTTTCCTACAAACATAGGACGCATTTCCAAACTATCACCAAATCTTAAACACAGATGCTAACAGTAATCTAAATATCAAATTTCCGAATTTTATATCTATCTCTTCACCCAATACCAAATTTAGTACCATTTAGTAATTTTCGTACAATTATACACACATTTCCGAAATCACAAATCCTCAATATCAAATTTGTGGATTCCAGTCCAATCCCTTCACCCCATATCAACTTTAGTACAATTTAGTACTTTTCGAAAAGTTATAGTACGCATTTCCAAAACCAACTCCATATCTCAATTCCAGATATCAACACAGACCTCAATATCAATTTTGAAGATTCCAGTCCAATACCTTCACCCAATACCAAATTTCGTACCATTTAGTACAAATGTAGGACACATTTCCAAAACCCTGCCAAATCGCAAACACAGATACCATCAGTAATCTAAATATCAAATTTCAGAATTTTATCTCTATTTCTTCACCCAGTACTAAATATAGTACCATTTAGTACTTTTCGTGCACTTATAGTACATTTTTCAAAAACCACCTCCATATCTAAACCATGGACACCAACAGTTAACAAAATAACAAAAAATAAGCTTTGTAATTTCCTCCATTTCCAAACTTAGTACCATTCAGTTCAACAATAGTACGCATATCCCATCCAGCTTACCAAGCAACAGAGAGTTTCAGGATTTCAGCTTTATTTCTTCACCCAATACTAAATTTAGTACTTTTCGTACAATTATAGTACAAATTTCCAAAATCACCTCCATACCTCAATACCAATTAATATCAAATTTCAGATAGTACCATTTTGTACTTGTCGTACAATTATAGCACATATTTGCGAAACCACCTCCATATGTCAAGGCTACACATGAACAGCTTCCCTAATATCAAATTTCAGATATCAAGCACTTTACGTTCACCATACACCAAATCGGACCAAATATAGTACTATTTAGTACTTTTAGTGGACTTGTAGTACGCATTTCCAGAACCACCTATTTTTCACAAATCTACCAACAACAGGGACTAAAAATACAAAATTTAAAAATTCCAGGTTCATCTATTTAAGCCAACCAGTTCTAAATTTAGTACCATTTACTACATTTTCCACATTTAGTACTCATTTCCAACACCGAAGAATATGTAAAACTTACTTTCCATCTTTAATTCTCATGTCAAATTTTTAGCAATAAATTATTTTTTTACACCAAATGGTATCATTTTGGAAGTTTAGTACCATTTTAGAACTTTTCATAAATTTAAAGTTTAATTTTCCAAAAACCCTTCAGTGCATCTATCCTGCACTACATCAGTGAAATGAGCTATGTCGAGCGCTCCGAAAATGGCGCGATTAACATTCTTGAAAAAGCATACATTTAGATTAAAAAAAATCAATGATTGGCAAGCTTTGTTCGTTTTTAAGCCGATTTATGGTTAAATTATAGGCCGAACTAAAGATATTTGACAGGAAACAAAATATGAAGTGAGCTGTTGAAAACAGTGTTACCAATAAGCTAAAAAGTCATGCTTCACTCATTACATATTGTAGAGTATGATGCATTCACATTACACCATTCTCTAAATCTCTTCTACTCAGAATTTATTTTTCAACATTTTTTTTTGTCAAAAATGTGCCCCTTGTTTCGGTGTCCGAAATTATGTACCCCGACCATCATATTGTCAAATTAACTACATTTCTTATGTATAAATCATTCAAAGAATTTCTTAAAAACCAAACTATTATCAAAAAATTTGATTATCAATTGCCCACGCATAAAAGCAACCTGACTGCTATAAGCAATGCAACGTAGAAATATACAAATATGGGCTTGAAGCTAGACATACTGGTTACGGGTGATGCATCAACGATTGTTAAAATAAGATAAACTCAAGAGCTAATATTAAAAAAAATAAAAACGAAACCGCAAATCTCAATTAAGATAAGTGAATACACACATCCATGTTTCAATGAATCACGCAAAATAATTTTATAAAAATAAAAATACTAACCAGAAGAAGTAATAATTATTTTTATTAAAGAAACGAAGAAATCAAGATCAGAAATTATGAATTAACAAAATTTTAGTGGAGAATGTAATAAAATGTTATAATGTTAATAATAATTTCAACACACATGGGTGTACAGAATGATTGGGTAGGGCTCTCGCAAAAACCATATTCATATAAGTGCTGTGCCAAAGCCTATATATATAAAGGCTGTACCAAAACATGACCTATATTGCAAAATTTTAAATAATAGTGTCATAGATCCTAGCTGCTAGCCGAGGATGTGGACGTCGATAGTTAGAAACCTGACTAAAAGGATTTCGGTTTTCTTTAGCTCCACAGAAGTAGAAGTCGAATCTACATGGGTACACCTAGCTGTGATATTTTCGTATTCTCCCACATGTACAATTGGAACATGGTTTTTATATTGGGTTTGGCAGCTGGATAGAACTAATATTTTAATTTCAAATTATAACTTTTCCCCTCTCTGTAAGTTAGGGCACCCATGACTACAAATCTTACACAGTCTTCTATCCAAAGAAGATCTCAAACGACCTTCTATTCGTGAAAAGCTCTAAAAGGATTTATACTCATAAAATACCATAAATGGTCTTCCTCTTATCCATGAAAGTCCTCAAAAGGTATACTTCACACTGAAAACCTCAAAAAGTAAGTTTTGCCTAGAAGACAAAAAATACCTCCAATTCTATCTTCACAGTTGATCACAAAAGGCCTTACATTTATAAAACGTCTGCCATCTGTAAATGAACTCAAGGTATTTCAGCCAAAGAGACTAATAAGATCTAATAAAGCTTTCCATGAGGTATTCTGTCAGAAAAAGACATGAAATGTTGTCTATCGGTAATAGACCTCAAATATTTCTATTCCCCTGTGAAAAGGTGTTCACAGGATTCAAATGACCTTTTACCCGTGGAAGACCTCAAACGAGTTTTATCTATCAAAAGACCTTGCATCCATAAAATATCTCAGGAGTTATGCTAGCCAAAGAAGGCCTAATAAAGCTTGTCGTTGTTCTCTAAAAGTCCATAGAAGACCTTCAAAGAAACTCTACTGCCTCGACAGATAATCTCAAAAGGAGTTCCATTCAAAATCTGTACTACATATAGTAAACCATCTCATAGTTTTTCTTGTCCATAGAAATTCCCATCTTCCAAACATAAAATATATGACCTTTGCAACGAAGACTTCAAAACGACTTCTACTTAAACAAGACCTCAAGACTACGGAGGAGCTCAAAATATCTACTACACATAGAAAAGACTTCTACTCACAGAACACCTCAAGGCCACAAGTGATCTCGAATAGGATTCACCAAAACTTATTTCTACTTTAAGACTTCGAAATTTCTACTATACCAAAATATCTCAAAAAATCTTCTATCGAATGAAGGTCGACATATTTTCGATCCATAAAACATATTAAAATATCTTTAGGAGATCTCAAAAGGCGATCTATCCATAGAAGACCCAATCTACTCTCCCATGGAAGTCGTCCAAACATATACCATCCATTGAAGGCTTCAAAGTGTTGTCCATCTATTAAAGATCTCAATAAGTCCCTCTATCCCAGAAGACATCTAATAGAAGTTCTACTGATAGAAATTGTATAAAGAAGAACTCAAATTGTTTTCTATCCATTGAAGATCTTAAAGGGCTCTAATAGTAAAAGTCCTCAAGTTTCTCTCTCTACAAAAATACACCAACGATTATCTGTCCGGGGAAGACTTCACAGAGGTTTATGTCCATAGAAGTCATCAAATATCCATAAAGGACACCAAAAAAGTGCTGTCCAAAGAAGATCTCTAAAAATCTTCTCCCCACAGGAGCTCTTAGAAAGCCTTTTATTCGATAAATATCTTAAATTTTCCTTCTCCACAGAAAATGCCTCAAAAAGTCGTATAACATTGTCAAAAGATGCACTACTCATAGAAGTTCTATCATAATATTCTATCTACAGAATACCTCGAAAAGAATTCTCTCTATAGAAGTTATCCTATTACTAGAAAACCATAGCCCCAAAAAATATCGTACCCATAAAATACCTCAAGAAGTCTGTAAAAAAGTACCTTAAAAATAACTCAGGTGTATTCACAGAAGACCTTTAAAAACCTCAAAAAGCTAAAACTACAATGGTGAAGACTTTTTCAAGTTATAGAATAACACTAGCTTATTGATTATTCCGGACCACAATAACTTCACCATGTCAATCCAGAGATCATAGGCAGTTGATTATTAAAGTCCCAGACTTTCCCCTTAGATATGCTCAATATCAGCAACTGGATATAAAAACTCCAGCTTCATACTTGATAAATATATCAAATTCGATATTAAACGATCGGAAATCTGGGAACTCTTTCGATAGTAAAATCTCTAATTTTATAAGCGGCGGAAATAAAACCTTCCTAATCGTTGAGCCTGGTATAAGGCATTGACGAAATTACAGAAAAATAGGACTCTCTAGATGTAGAATTTATATTATAACTTAACTATTTTTTCTCAAATTATCATTATTTAAACAAATATATTTTTAGCCGAAATATAACAAAAAAAAACTAGCCAAAATCGGCCAGACTTCCACAAATTAAAGTTGTTTGTTTTTAATATTCAATCAGATTTAATTAATATCTTTACTTTAATTCCTTTGCAAGAAAACACAAACAAATGAATTAATTTTCCTTCCTCTTTTTGTCTTTCCAGATCACCACCAGCAAATCTAACAGTATTAACCCGCCAACAACAACTGCAACAACAGCAAAATGCCGCTGCATTCTATGCTTCCAATGCTGCTGTCGACACCAGCGATTTAATGATACGCTTGCGTGAATCGATAAAACAAAAGGAAGAATTTCTCAAATCACCGCTACCTAATGTCCATCAACAGCAGCACCAACAACAACAACAGCAGCAACAACAACAACAACACTTCTTTCCTCATACACCACCCTCAGGCAGTCCACAATTGTCTATGGTCTCAACGTCCTCAACATCTGTGGGGGGATCCGGTTCATCGTCAGCAGCCTGTGTTGTTGGCGGTTTAAGTTTTCTCAGCGCAAGCAACAGCAACAGTGGCAGCATTGGCAGTAATGCAACGGCACGAGGACAAGTGCGTACCACCTTAGTTAAGCAACCGCTGTCGGCCACTTCATCGACGTCCAGTACGAGAGAGTTATTAACAGCAAACTGTGATATGCATTACGCACCGAATTTGGGTGGTGGGTCCAGTGCGCCGGGAGGTAGTGGTGGTGGCGTTGGGACAACAACAATGTCGTCTCGTAGTCAACAACAGCAGCAACAACAACAACAGAGACTGGCTACCACCACCACCAGTAGCAGCTCTGGCATTGGCTCCAGCAGCACAAATGGCAGCAGTTCAATGTTGCGTGATAAATACCATAAGGATTATGAATTCATGGAAACATTGCAGGAAACTGGTGTCACTAACAAAGTGTAAGTAATCCCCCTGAAACAACAAACGAGCAATAACAACAACAACAACACCAACCACGAACTGGACAGCCTTAAGGAGCCATATGCAAATTGACTGGCTGTCTATGTCTGGCTCTCTATCAGCGACTGGCAAACCGGACCGGCAATAATTGTTTCAAAACAACAACAAGACCTCCACATGCAGTTGGGGTCTTTCTCCCCATTTTCTGCTGCATCCATTAGAAACAACACACATTTTACTATATTGTCATTTGAATATCTTATCACCTTTGGATGTTGTTCGGTCATTGGTTGTTTTAGCTAGCCAGCCAGCCAGCCGCTGCATTTGAATGGCTTTTAATTTTCATCTATCTTCTCTACTTACTTTCTTTTAGATTTGAAAGCAAATTGGTTTCACATTTAGCCCGAGGTTTTGATCCTTTCAAGCCTTTGTCTATCAACACAAATGCCATTGAATCTGCAACAACAACAACAGTAGCAGCATCGGCAACAACGGCAACGGCTCCGGGCAATAGCAACAATAGCAGCAGCATTTTCTTGAAAAAGCCAAGTGTTTTATATGATTCACTGCATCATCATCCGTTGCATCAAATGCAGGTGCAACAACAGCAACACATACACAGCCAATTACACCAACAGCATGTGTATCAACAACAACAACAAACAGCAACGGCGCCAAAGATGACAGTTCCAAGTGCTGCAGCAACAAATTCACTAACAGCAACAACCTCAACACCAGTAACAAACGCAACAACAGCATCGTCATCGTCCTCCTCATCTGTGGTCGATGGTCATCGTTTTAGTCGCATGGAAATCTATAAGGCCAGTGTGGCCAATGCAACAATCGATCATCAGGCTAATAACAGTAAGTCGGAAATCTTTTGACACAATTCTTTTTTACCGAAGAGTGGCTTTAGTTGTCCTTATTTGACATTAGAAGAAGATTTCCTGTTTGTCCTCCTAAATATCTACCTTTTGAGTCTCTGTGATATTTTGTACAGAAACTTAGTGGACCTTCTTTCTATATAATATCTCAAAGAGTATTTTAACTGTAGAAGAACTCTACAGGTTGTCTATACACAGGAATAACCAAAATTGTCTTATTTCCCTAGAAAACTCAGAAGTTATTCTATCCACCTAAAACCAAAAATGGGGCTTATATCCAGGGAACAGCTTGGGAAACAGACAAAAAATAGTTCTCAGAAAGAGTTAGTTCAACAAAACTAAAAAGTTATGTTCAACAAACTAAAGAAAGCGGAAAGCATTCTTCTATCCACGGAAGGCAATATAAGAGTATTTTACCCACGGAAGGCCTAGTTCTATTCATAGAATACTTCATTGGTAGCCTATTCATAGAAGAAGGCAAGGAATCTTTTATACATACAAAAAATCAGAAAGCCCCCAAGAGATTTCTACCCTTATATGACCTCAATTTTTTCTATCAATCATATTTCCATAAGACGTAAAAGGTTTTCTAGCCAAAGACAATCTCAGAAGGTATTTTACCCATAGAAGACGTCAAAAGGTCCTCGCCCAAAGACACCTCAAGTGCTCTTCCTTTAAAAGAATGCCATATTATCTATTCTTAAAACAAATTCTCGCAATCAATTTGTGTCGTTAGAAGTCGGAAATAATTTCCTCAAAAGAACTTGCATCCTTAGGAGACCACAAAAAGTCTCCTACTAAAGTCTAAAATCTAAGAAAGCCTTTAGTGACTAAAAGATCTGAAAAACCAAGACCTCCTATCCAAGAAAACCATCAGATATTAATTTTCCATAAAAGATCTCAAAAGTCCTTTTTCCCATATACGACCCCAAAAGACATTTTACCTATAGAAATTCTTCATGTTCCTAGCAGATCTGAAAAAGCATCTAAGAAAAACTTTAGAAAATTTTCTTTAAATAGAAGATTTTAAAAGGTTTTCTATTCAATGAGGATTTCAGAAGGTATTTTAGCCATAAAAAACCTCAAGGAATCCTTAAAAATCCACCATCCTTTGAAGATCATTATTTATGTTATATCTACAGAAAACCACAAAAGATATTCTCTCAATCGAATAGCTGCTAGCACTAGAAAACATCAACTTGTGTCCTTAGCAATCCCATTGATGACCTTAAAATGCTGTATATTAAAGAGGATCCTAAGAAGACATCAAATCTCTACACTTAAAAATCTCCTTTCCAAAGAAGACCTTAAAAGATATTTTATCCATAGAAAAGGTCTAAAAAGCCTTCTGCTGCCAAAAGATTTGAAAGGGCCTTTTATTCAAGGAAAACCTCAGAAGATCATGTGTCAATAAAATATCTCAAAAAGTTTCTATCTATAAAGGTCTTCAGAAGGCAAAAAAATCTCCTCTATACCTCAAAAAATCTCCTTTAAACAGATTTCAACATGTTTACCACCAGTAAAAGGCCTCAAAAGGTATTTTGTCCATAGAATAAGAATAAAACTTCAATGTAGGTCTTATAAGATATTAAATATACAGAGGACCTCAGTAGGCTCTTCTTACCAATACATAGATGACCTCAAAGGGTCTCCAATGAAAAGGTTTCAAAGGTAGAAGGCCCTTAGAAAGTTTTTTTATTAATAAAGTACCTTAAAAGTACTTTATCCATAGCAGATTCCAAAAGAACTCCAAAGTATTCTACCCATATAAAAAAGAAAAGGTAATCTATCTATAGAGGACCCCAGAAAACTTTTTACAAATAAAAGGCGCCAAAATTTATCCAATAATTATGTAACAAAAGATCTGTTACAATTAGAAGACCTAGAAAAAATCTCAAGAAGCATTTTCCCACAGAAGACTCCAAGAGAATTCTATAAAGAAGATCTCAAAAGGTATGATATTTATACCTTTATTCTAAAGGTATTCTATCCATGAAGAATCTCAAAAAGATGGTCTATTCATAATTATGATCTCTCTAGAGAAGTCTTCAAAGACATCAAAAATTCTTCTATAAAATCAATCGCTTATACCATAAGAACTCAAGACATAATCTATCCAAAGAGCACAAAAGAAGAAATTCTTCAACAAGTGACCTGAAATATGTAATATCCACAGAGGACCTTAAACGTTTTTATCCATGGAAATCTTCATAGTGGTTCTACCCAAAAGATATTCTGCCCTTAGAATACTGCAAATAATCCTCTATGGGTGGTGGTAAATTCCAAAAGATGTATCCATAAGAGACGTTAAAGTTCCTTCTAACTGTAAATGATTCCAAATAACATCCGAAAGGGTTATCTCGTAAAGTTTTCAGAAACGCATTTAATTCAGAGATAACCCTGAAAAAATTGTCCAGTCCATGCATTCATTCATTTAATCGCTCAATTTTAGAAATGCAATTTTTCGTCAAATCGCACACATTCTTGCTCTAGAAAAAAAAACAGTTTTTCAGAACCTCTCCATCCCAAAATAAAGTCAACGGAATTACATTTTTCTCAAGGGAATCATTTGAACAACTTAGTTTTTTCTAGAGAATTTATTTATTTCTCTTTGGCTCTGACCAATTTATTTCCAATTTTAAACCCATAGATTTTTTTGCTAAAGTTACAAAGTGAAAATTATATTAACAACTGCTCCAACAGGATAGTACCCGGAAATGGCTCCAAATTTCATATTGGCAGCGATGTTTTCTAGCATGCTCCTAGTTCCCTTGTAAAACTTGTTTATAAAGGGATATAAATTCACTGACTCAAGCCCTTTGACATTTTCAGCAGTGGTTGGACTGCAAGTAATGCTGAAACTCCTAAAATCATTGGCAACAAAGCTATTACTCTTATCCCTCTGGAATTTTGCTTCCAATTTCATAAAACACTTATAAACTTGCATAAAAAATACCTCTCTTCAGTTATTTTTTTTTTTTACATATCCAAAATTTCTCGCATAACTCCCCTATTTTTGATATTTTACTAACTTATGTCCCGATATCTTACTTGAAATTTCCCATGCAATAATTGTCATTATTTATCGCTTTGCGCTTTAATAGCATCGCTTTATGGGCAAACTTAATTAGGTTTTTTCTTTACTCTGCTCTGCTCTGCTCAATGCTGTACTGCACTCCTATTGATTTCATTATTTCATTGCTATGCTTTCAGAGTATGGTAGTAAATTAGCGGCAGATGCAAATGAAATCAACAAGACAACATTGGCCGATATTGCTGAAGGTGATGTTAACAATGGCACAACGGCAGGAGTTAATGTAAAATCACCATCAGGAATAACAACAACGACACACGTGAGAGGTACATTACCATTCAGTTATTATTCCTTCTAAAATAAGAAATAAAATTTTCAAATGATTTGCAAAAACACTTGTCAAACATATCACTCTTGGGAAAATTATATTTATTCAATATTGCTCATCGTAACACTTATATGAACAGAAGAACCCCGACCAACAAACACTCACACATACATTTTTCATTAAATATTAAAAATAATCCCTGCGATTTACTTATCTCGTCTTCTTTTTTTTTTTTGTCTAACCACAGCGACATCAGTACAACCATCATCATCATCATCCTCCTCTACGGTGACAGCTTCAGGCGGTAGCAATGTTATAAGACGTTTTAGACCAATGTCTTCATTCGACGATTCAAAACCAATGCGTCGCATTTCATACTTACGTGCTACCAATGATGACTATCACGATACATCGGCCACCTCCTTGGCAAATTCCTCCACCAGCAGTATAGCGGAAACACTATCCACGAAATCCAACAAATCTCAACAGCAGCAACATATTGAGGAACATCTTGATCCAATATACGATACCGTGGGTGGTGGCGGTGGTGCGGACAGTACCAGTGATTCTTTGGATGCCTTGGAAGATTTGAAATTGGATGCATCCGCAAGTAGTCGTAGAACGTCTGTAAATAGTGATTTTAGACGCAGGTAAGTTGGAGATTTCCCTTTTTTTTATTTCTTGGTAGTAATTTAAATTCCTATCTTCTTACAGTGTTCACATTGATAGCAGCAGTGGTATTGATCTAAACGGTAAAATGGAATCAAAAGATATTTCAACGGACATGGAAATATTTGAAACGGAAATGGAAATCAAATCTTCATCAATACATGGCAAAGTAAGTGAAAGTGATCTTTTTTAATAGCTTAATAAAAACATGTTGAGTCATTGTTACGTCTGGTGGAATATTTTATGGGTCAGAAAATAAAAACCACAAAAGAATATAATTATAGTGAAATTCACTTTAATGTAGTATTTTTATAGAATTTTGATGTTACCAAACGTGCCTCGTCGAAATAACGGTTTTTGACATTGGCACGTAATCCCTTTCAGGACATTTGGGTTCGATCCAACTGTATCTGCCCGTCCACCGACCGCCTGGCATCGTAATATTATTATCAAACTTAGATCAAGTCCGGATATGGGAAATATACTGGTACCTCCCACAATAAAGGTCCACATTTCCAAAGAAAATGTGCATCATAACAAGAAAAAAATCATCCACTTTGTTCTAACCTTGCATTGTCTTATTTGTTCAGCGACTATTACTTCTAGTACCTCCCCCACAAAAGGTCAAAGTTTTGAATAAATTAGCATCCGATTCTTTTCAAAAGTGTCAAATTCCAATATTTTTACCATCACAAGATCTGATGTAAAGCAGGGAGATGTCGTCCCACTCCTTCCTGATGGAATTCAAGCGTGACAGTGTGATTTCTTTATAATTGGCTGGAAAACCACAAGTGGCTATCGTTAGAGCACTCCAGCATTTGAATGTGAATAAACCTTCTATGTCTCGTGCCATCGCTTGTTACCGTGATGCTGGTAGCGTAGCCCGACGTCAAAGAAGTGGACGGAAGAAAACGGCAACATCAACAGAAATGGTTTGAAAAGAAAAGAAACGACTTGATCGAAAGCCGCGTCGCAGTGCTCGAAAATGGCTCGTGAGCTGGACATATCGCAGTATTCCATTCGGCAAATATTAAAAAATGAACCATTGAAATTCTAAAAAGTGCAAGAACTTATACCGCAACAGAAAGAAAAAAGACTCAAAAGAGCTAAAGAGTTGCTTCGGGTTCCTCCGATGAGAAAATATTCGTTGTCCAGCAGTTTGTAAACAAACAAAATAATCGTGTTTACTTGCCAAAGAGGTCAGCTGAAAATGTGCACCTTCGGTTGGCCACCAGAACTCAAGCGCCGACCATGGTGATGGTGTGGACCGCCATAGCTGCCGATGGTCGCTCTCCGCTCGTATTCATCGACCGTGGCATCAGAATAAATGCCGATTAGTATTGCGAAAATAGTCTGGAGGGTGTATTAAAGCCTTGGGCACGCAAACATTTTGGCCGCAGACCTTGGACATTCCAACAGGACTTAGAACCATCGAACTCTATGTGGGGGCTTACCAGAAGAAATGGTCCGATCTCTTCCACCTTTATAACAGATCTTGTGTTGATAGAAATATTGAGATGTACCAGGTCTTAATGAAATCGGATGTTGATTTCGCGTTTTATAAGCCTCATGAAGCCACATAACCCTTTGTAAAGGAGGTACAAGAAGGAGTCGGTCGATGTATCCAATCTTCACAGCAGAGCTTGTGTTACTTGAAATAATGGGATGTGTGAAATATGAAGAGAACCGGATGCTTATTTCGGATTTTATAAACGTTTCGGTTATTCAAATCTTTGACCCATTTTGGGGAGGTACCAGAAGGAATTGTCCGATCTGTACCATTTTTATAACAGATCTTGTCTTGATAAAAATATTTAGATATGTCAAGTCTGAGTGAAATTTGATGTTAATTTCGCGTTTTTTTGAGCTTCATGGATATTCAAAATGTTGACCCTTTGTAAGGTAGGTATCAGAAGGAGTGGATCGATATATTCTATCTTCACACCAGACCTTGGGTAAAAAAAAATAGTGTGTGTGTAATTTTAAGACAATCGGACCTTAGATCACATTTTATAAGAGATATAATTATTCAAAATATTGACCCTTTATGGGGGAGGTACTTGATGGAGTGGGCCGATATTGTCCATTTTCGCACCTGTCTTAGCGTTGATGCAAATTTTATGATTTGCTAAGTTGGAGTAACATCGGATTATTCTTTCTCTTTCTGTGCAGTTAATTTTTTTTTTTTTTTTTTTTTTTGAAAATTTTGACCCTTTTTGTGAGAGGTACCAGATGGACGGACAGATATTGTCCATCGTCCTGCCCCACAACTGCCATATTTTAATAAACCCATCCCACCATATTAAAATCTTAAATCCAATTTTAATTTTCCTATCTATCTTTTTTTCCAGCGACAATCCGAATATCGTTCATGGCGCCAAGTTAAAATCGAAATTAAGGGTGATATATTGAGAATATATCCCAGTCGTAATACGAAATCTGATAGCAATGTGAGTAGTAGAGTTTACACATACCTTAAACACCTTCTTATATACTTAAAATTAAATTAAAATTAAAATTCGCTTTCAATTTCAGGTACTTGAACTCGACATTAGAAACTTTGAAATCTTTGACGAATCAGATAAAAAGAAATATGTATTTCGCATGCAATCGAAACCCTCACCGATCGCCACACTAGGCAATGAATTAAATATTGATGATGTACCAGATAAACTGACATCATCGACCGGTAGTTCCTCATCAACACAACAACAAACAACGGCGGCGGAAATGGGCAATCAGCCACAGAATCAACCGCATACCGATATTTTGTTTAAAACGAAGAGTGGCTCTGAAATGAAAAGGATATATGGTTTATTACAATGGAAGAATAGTTTAATATTTAATGACAATGTAAGTGCCGCCGTAACCGGGGAAAACCAAGCCTATTTAACAATGAACTTCTCTTTTTAGGATCCTCAAGGTAAACAGTTAGCGGAACCGCAAAAAACTGCCGCCACCGCCAGCATGTCTACAACCAACAGCAATTACTGTGATGACAATGTACAACAACAATCAGTGCAACATTTACAAGCCGAACATTCACCCTTAAGTTCAACTTCACGTAGTGAGTTAGAAGCACCCGATTCAATATCGCCCGTTATGAAAACACGCAAATCGTCTTCACACAAAAATATACCCGACAAAGATTTGGGTTCACCCAAGGCCAAAAACTGGAAAGATCTACTGTTTCGTCGGGGCGGAGGTAGTAGCAGTAGTGGTCACAGTGCTGATTTATCACCATCAAATCTATCGTCGTCATCAAAAACTGTTGGTTCAATTGGTGTACCCTTGAAAACGTGTCCCATGGTGAGTTAAATAAATTTTTATATTTCTCTATTTGTTTCATATTTCTTTCTCTCTATTTTCCCAGTCCAAGAGCAACGAATATGTACCCACTCTGGTGGATGTTTGTACTAATATTGTGGAAACTAAAGGCTTGGGAGTTGTGGGTATTTATCGTATACCCGGCAATAAGGCAGCCATTTCGGAGCTGTCCGATCAAGTGAATAAATCTGATTTCTCATGGGATCGCTGCAATACAGATGTCAGATGGGAAGATGTTAATGTGGTCTCAAGTCTGCTTAAGCTATTCATAAGAAGTTTACCCGATGCTTTGCTACCAAGTTCCTTTTATAGTCAATTTATTGAGGCCGACAAGAAAGAGGGTATGGAACGTTTAACCGAACTGAAGGCCCTATTGGAGGCACTGCCGCGATATTCACACGAAACAATGAAACATCTATTTCGTCATTTGAATCGGGTCAGCAAGCATTGTGATGTTAATTTAATGGAACCGAAAAATTTGGCCATCATTTTTGGCCCCTCAATAATACGCACACCCAATGATGCCTTGGATGTGGCTGTTAAGGATATGAAACACCAGTGTCGTATTGTGGAATTGTTGTTGACACATGTAAGTGTAAATATTTCTTGGGGTTACTGTTTGAAACTAACCTACCTCTGTAATTTCAGTATGATTATTTCTTTGAAAATGCCGAGGCACCCGATATTGATGATGTGTGTGGCAATAATATTGCTCCCTCCTCATCGTCCTCCACCACGGGAGCCATCACCATACAACAGCAGCAACAACAGCAACAGGAAGAAAACCAAACCAATATGCTGCTGCATAATATTTCGAAAATCGAAAGACTCACCGAAAGAGAATCAAGTTCATCCAGCACCACAACTACATCGCGTAGTACCTCGCGCTTCATAAGAAATCTGGGCAAGCCCAAGTCTAGCAAACGACCCGAACCGGCAACATATGATAATGGTTTGGTAAGCAAAACTTCCAGTAGTACCTCTAGTAAATCTAAATCTTTTCACTCTACATCCAACACCAACACCACCACCACTACCAAGAACACAAAACATTCTATTATCACAACACCTCTACCACCTCTCACCACAATCACCAAGAATACATTAAAAAACATATGCAAATCGACACCAAATATTTCCACACTTACAACACGTTCGCTTTCGAGCACCAATGCTACTAGTAGAACCACCTCTAAATCATCATCCTCACGCGATTCTACTTGCTCGGCAGCCGAAGCGGCCGAATATCGTCAGAGACGGCGAGCTGTGCCCACAATTTATGATTTCGGTGTTACTTTACGTTTACATTTTCAGTCATTGGACTATGCCAAGTCGGGTGCCACCGCATCATCGTCCAGCAGCAGCAGTACGACAACGTCCTCGGCTAAGACATCCAAAAAGAAAGAACACCATGGTTTCCTGAGCAGCCGGGCACGCAGTCATGCACGAAAATCGAGTTTGGATGAAAAAGATTCGGGTAGTGTTAGTGGTAGCAGTATTATCAAGGATACCCAGCGTAATAGTGTGGATATTTCAATAACTCTGACGGATGATGAGAGCAGTAATAGTCGTCTAAGTGAACCGGGTAAGTGGAATTTATGTTTTGAGGGGAAGATAACTACACCATGTCTGTTTGTATAATGGTACAGAAGATATTCTATCTCTGAAGGGAATCTCCGACCTGGAGAATACTATGTTTGGGAGATAGAAGGTATTCTAACCTGCAGAAAGTGAACTATATAATTTATGCTTTTTAAGAATAGCAGACTTTTATGACGCATACTATCCACAGAAGACTTGTAAACGGTATTCTTGTCGGTAAAGGTCTGTAAGAGACCTGTGCTGGGTATTTTTATGATAAATATCAGCGGATATAGACTTTATACAAATAGATTGAAAATGACCTGTAGGTATTGTATTGTTAGAAAATCTTCTGCAGTATATTTAGGTTTCATAAAAGAGATTTACGGAGTGTAGTCTATCTGTAAAAGAGCTGTGGAGGCTATTTTATATGGTAAATACTTGCAGATACCATAAGATTAAATATAACCTAGAAGTCTTCTAGAAAATCTGAAAAAAAAAAACTGGTAGAAAATCTACTTTAGCACATGTTGGTATCCCAAAGAGGAACTACAAAATATCTTCCCTCATTAGAATATCGGAAAACTATTCGAAATCCATATTATTTCCATATTAAGACAATTTTTCTTTCTTTTTTCTCCCACTAGGTTCCATGTCACTTGGCATCATAACGGACACATTGGAATCCAAGCTTAGTAAGCTACGTAGCGGTTCAGAGTCAAACGATGAAAACGGTTCACCCGACTTTCCAATGCAACGTCGTTATACATTGGGCGAACCGCTACATATATTGCATACAGAAAACATTCCCTATGCCGATGAGTCTCCCGAAAGACATTTTCATAATTTCTGTCCACTGGACAGTATGATAGGTGCAAATAATTTAATGCTCAGTCGTTCATGTACCTCGACCAATACGCTAATGGGAAGCAGTGCTAAATCAACGAGCAGTGAAAAAGAAAAATCATCACCACTTACCGGCTATAAGGGAGGTGCACCGCATAAGCTACAACATTCAGCAACGGCGCCAATTAACTCTTCAATTGGTAGTGTGGGTGGAGTGAATCTCTCGTCACCGCCCACTGCCGCCTCTACACCCACAACAATAGGTGCTCTAAAGGGTAGCTTGACAACAGCTTCATCAGCTAGAAATGCCTATGCTACTAGTAAAAATTTAAGGTTCTCCTCATCGGTGCAGGAGCAACGATGCTCGGAAGATGATTCTGAAGGTTCTACCACAAGTGATCCCAAAGAGGCTTTGGCCATGGCCTCACCTTCATTTCTAATGGATAAATACAATAAGAAACGTAGAGATCATCGTCTTTATCGTTCGGCCTCGTTCAATTGTCGTAACTATTCATCGCGCTATGGCGGCAGCAACAATATGACGGCTGGCAGTAATATTCCTCTGACAAAAGATGAAAAGACTGATATGAATCTAACGAAAAAACGTCAAATACAAAATAAACAAAATCGTTCGATAAAACGACGTCACACCGTGGGCGGACCACATGACTACAGTGGCAATGCCGGGCAGCCACCAGCAGCAGGTGGCAATAATTGTAATCATCATTGCAAGAATAATATGTCAAATTCGGGTAGTTCAAATGCTTCGAACACATCATCGTCGGGTATTACACGAACACCGTTGTCGAGCGCCAACAGCAACATTGCAAATAATAACAATAACATGCAACAGCATGGCGTTGATGATGGTGGCCACAGCAGTGCCACGAGTAATGGCAATAGCAGTAGCAGCAATAATACAACCAATAATACCGCCTCCACCACCGCCACCACAGTTAACGTGGCCAATTCATCCGGTGAGCATGTACTTGAAGTTGGCATACGTATTAAGAATATTAATAGAGCGCGTTTCTAAATTTGGTTACACGCACACCAAAATAAAAATACAAGCTGGGCTATATATTATATATAATTTGATAGCCGTACAACACACCGCTTGGGAATGAAATTCCTTTCAAGTGGGGTATGTGATACCGAACCAAAACAAAAAAAGTATCACCCATTTTTGGGCAATCAATTGAGCGAAAAAAAATATGCAATGCATACAGAACCGCCAACCAGCCAGCCAGCTTAAAACAAAATATCCCGCCTGCCTTAATAAATCCCTTGTGAAGCGCCCGCCCGCCCCTTTTAAGCCGCCCCTGCACATTTAATGTTTAAGAAAAAGCAAGAAAGAACTAAAGTACAACAGCTAAGCGTTACAATCATCATTTATAGAAAGTGATACGGTGGGAATCGGTTAGAGCTATTAAAATTGCAAGCATTCAAATTTATTTGACTCATTTGATATTTAAAAGTGAGGTTAGTATAAAAATAAATATTATTTATTGAATCAGTTTTAATAGCTAAGTCTAAATTTACATTAGGCGAGTTGACTAGCGGCAAGTCTCGGGTTGTTGGTGAGAAGAGGAATAAGGCAAATGGTAAAATAAATGCAAAAATATAAAAACAATAATAGGAAAGGCGATGATGAAAAACGATAATTGCTGAAAACAAATTGCCTTGCATATGACTGCATGAGGCAGTTCAAAAGAGAGCGAAAAAAAACTGCCGCAAGTAATTACGTCTAGTCTAAATCAGAAATAAGAAATATTGAAAAACTCTAAAAACGACTTCATTTTTGAGGTTTTTAAAATATCAAAAAATGGCCAATATTGGCCCTCATTTAGTGAAGATAACTTTTTGAGCCTAACTTCACTTTTTTAGCCATACAAAACGGCATTGAATATATTGGCGATTTGTCTAACGTCTTGAATTAGGAGAACAATTTCTGTATTATTTTAATTACGAAAAAAAATTTTTTTTTTTTTAGACATAACCTCACTTTTTAGGCTTCATAAATTTATTTTCGTTTCTCAGAAGATCCAAAATTAGGGATATGTTATTAAAAGCAATAAATTTTTAACCTGTCATCCAACCAAACGTGGAAGGAAATGAAGTACCTCACTTTTGTTTATACTATTTTACAAAACGCTTTTGCATCTAAATTTATTTGTGAATTGCCTATTTTCCAAAATTAGGAGGACTATTTTTTATTAATTTAATGTTTATTATTTTTTTTAATGTTTTTCGGACATAACCTCACTTTTCCGGCCACTATTTTTGCGTCAAAAGATTATTTCTGGGTTTTAACTCGCATTTGGATTGTGGATTTTCGATTTATATATGAAAATAGAATGAAAGTGTTGAAAACCATTTCCACCATAGCCTACTTAAATTGTTAGAGTTTCAAACGTGGAAGAAAATGGTTTCTGGACATAACCTTACTTTTTAAAATCATTTGTTTCATTACCCCACTTTTGGATTGTGGATTTTTTGATCTATATAGAATGAAAGTGCTGATTTCCATTGCAAGCATAATCTTCTCAACTTGTTAGACGTCCCAAACGTGAAAGAAAACATTTTTTTCTACACTTAACCTCACTTTTATAAAAACATTTTTTTCCTTTACCCATCTTTTGGATTTTGGAATTTCGATATTTGCATGGAAATAGAATGAAAGTGTAGAAAAACCGTGGAAATGGTTAGCTTTTCAGCCAAACCGAAATTTCAGAAAATAATCTTTCCATTTGTTGGCGTCATTACAAAATATCCAAAATTCGATATGGGAATCTACAATGTTTTTTTCTATAGTCTATGAATAAAGATTTTAACTAAATCTCAAAAGACTGTTTTTCGAGATCAGAAATCTACTGCTATTCTGAATTTCCTCCTATTAAAAAGCGCCCACCCGGCCTGTCCAAATAAGTTTTGCCATGTTTAATATTATTCAACCGCAAATGGTAGAAATATTACTGTGGATGACAAAGTCCTCCTATTGGAAATTTGCATTTAATTGTATCCATTTGGGATTCTTCAGAGTCCATAAATCTATCCTGTTTTGGATTTTTTTAAAACAAATAATAATTAAAAATCTATATTTCAACCGATTCCCACCTATCACAAAATAGCTTCGAACACCACGAACATTAATCAGTAGCATAGTTAAACAAAATACTGAAAAAATTGTGATGACGATGATGATAATTATGATAATGACAATGATTACCCAAAAGATGTTCTAGAATGAAAGATTGAAAAAAAAACAACAAGAAAACAAATATTTAAACTATATACACTCGCTGTGTATTTATTTACTTGTTGAAGATGGGAAAATAACGTTCTTTTCATCTTCTAAATTAACCAACAAAACACCAATTAGTTTTAAGTGAAAAAAAAAACACATAAAGAAAACGATGTTATTATTAGTAACAGCAGCAACAACAACAAGAAAAAAAGCAAAACAAAATTAACAAAACGTATTACAATATTATTCTTCGTATATGTTGTTTGGAACCGTTCTAGGAATATTTTGTTGTACAGTAGTTTAACAAAAAAAAGATAATAATATACAAAAATATTTACGAGCAACAACACCATAAATTCTAGAAGAAGAAGGAAAAAATTATAAACTACATATATATTTTTGTGTATGTTTTATGTGTATAACAAAACAACAGCAGAAGAAAAAGAAATCCTTTAAAACCCCCCAATTCTGTGTAGTATTAGCTTAAACATTTATAAAATATAAGATTATAAACAACAACAACAAACAAAAAAATTAACTAAAAAAACGCAAAACGAAACGCAAAAACAAAAACAAAGTGTAACTGATGTAAACACGCACTTAATATTTATTATTATTATTTTTTTATATTTACAAAATATTTTGAAACCAAAAATTCTATTTTTACTAATTTAACGAAAACTATGAAAAAAATTAAATAAGTTAATCATAATTTTTGGCCACGCCAATAAAAACGCACGCAATGTAACGCAACCACCAACATTTATTGTAATTCTTTGATATATTTTCTCCCCGCCTATTCTATACTACCATTTTCAATTGTTTGTTTATGGGTTTTTAAGTTGAAAACAAAAATTTTGTTCAAAGAAATTGAAATGCAAATGGTCTCCTGTAAAATGCTAGTTCAAAAATGTTCATGTGAGTGGTCATGTTTCCACAAGAAGTTATGTATATATGTGGTCACCGTAATTCAAGATATAAGAAATTTCTAGAAGTCTAGAGCAAGGCCGAACAAGAAGACTACTTTTGGTAGCAATTTGACAATAAAATTAGTAGTTTTTGTTCCATTGCGATTTAAGTTTATTTGAATTTCAAATCACAATTGCATCTTTTAAAATGAAGGAAAATGCTTTCTAGATATAACCTCACTTTTTAAAAACATGTTTTCACTACTCCATTTTTGGATTGTGAAATTTCAATATATGTATGAAAATATAATGAAAGTGTGGAAAATGAAAATGATTGGCTTTTGAAGAATTCCCAAGGCGAAATTTCCGAAAATTATCTTCACATTTGGTGGCCCTATACAAATAACAAACAGTTTGCTGTATTCAAATTCGGCATGGGATCTAAATTCCTTTTGGAAACCTGGTATAACATGTGGGTTAGGTTTTTATTCGTTTTGACATAACACTAGATTTTCACAAATATCACTTGCTTGCTTTTCTCAGATCTCAGAATTGAATACATGTAGTGCAAACTGGAGGGGCCTGTTTGCTTTTGGTTATTACCTCTTCCAAAACGGACACAATTCCTATGGGGAGTATGACCGTTTGCTGTGTGGACTACTTACAAAAATAATTAATTTTAGAAATCTTATATTCACGGTACTCAAAGAAAAAAATCTCAAGCCCCGGTCAAAGGAGAAAATCTAATTTTTTCGCACACCCAATCGATTTGGGCATACCTGTTGTTATAGGAATTATGTCGCAGGTTTATGGAGATTGTGACCGAACCCCCTTAAACTAACGGGGATTATGTCCAAGAAAAAACATAACCCCCATAATAATGGATATTTCCAAAGACTTTCTCATCTGGATATGTCAGGTACCGGCTAACGCGAACACAACTTTACTACATTTAATAATTGTTGCAAGTAGGGAAGGTCGTAATTCCCATAATTGCAATGGGTATTATCGAGGGGATTATGTCCGGGCACCGGTTTTGAATTTTTCATTTTAAATAAAAATATAAATTGGGTTGGCGGAGATATCAACCTAATTCCCTAAAGGTTAGGTGATACCACAAACCTCGAAATATTGGTTCTAGACCCACAATTTTACAAATTTACAATCTTATCTCGCCGAGCTGGCCGTCACAATTATGACGCAGACCTCTCGAAATTTTGCATTGAGCCAGGGATAGGTTAGAATACAAATCTTTAGGGCTTAAAATGGACGCATAATTTTGCGTGGGGTTAGAGTTTAGAACAACGAAGAAGCGCACCTGTTGGGGTCTACACAGCACAGCGATTGAAAGGGACCATACCTTTTGTGTGAAATATTCATTTTCAAACACAATATTTTGCTTTAATTAAAATTTGTGAATGAACGATTAAAATTTGTTGATTGTCTATTTTTGGCTCTTCGTTTTGTTTGTGTTGGAGTTAGGAGTTAGCAATTCTATTTGTCTGCGATTTGCCTTGAATTGGAAGAAAAATAAGTTTGCTGAACAGGTTATATGAGTTAAAAAAAATTAATTTAACTCGACTTAAGCTGCAAACACATAGAAGGCTTTCTATGTTGGCTTCTTCGTAAAAGAACAAAGATGTTTCAGGTTGAATCAGTTCAATTTCGGTCAATACATGTTTTTTCTTACAAAGAAGCCACCCAATGTCTTAAGTCAAGAAAAAACTTGTTCTATGTCTTCGCACCTTTAAAGACACTTCCTTGGCTTTGTTTTCCTTTTCGATTGTCCTAGAAGAACTGGGCATATGCCTTTCTTCAATGACGATTTACCATACCTAGCAACTCTTTACCATAGCAACCAAATTCTTTATTTTATGTGGCAACATGAGCCATCACTGAACTACTTTTCTACCCTAAAAAAATTGACAACGATTCTTTAATTACACAATTACAGCGCAAATTTTGTTTTTTGACAAGCCAAGTATAATTATAATTTATACTGTAACTATATAAATTTTGTATTTAGTTAAATTTTATACATTTATTTTTCAAAAAAAAAGTTTAGAAAATTAAAATAATAATGGGCGTATAATAATTAAAAGTATTTATAATTACAATTTTTTATTTAAAAAATTATGTTGCTTTTTTTTCTTATAATGATAAATCATTATTAATTGTGTAAATGTTTCTTGTATAAATTATTATTATTATATATTTTTGTAAGATTTTTTCTATGTTAATTAAGTTTTATAAAAAAATAAAATATAGAAATGAAAACTGAAAAAATAAATGTTAAATTTGCTAAAAACAAAATAAAAACAAAAAAGTAATTAATTGTATTATCTTGTGTGTGTATCTGTATGCGTGCTGCTTGTATGAGTTTGAAAATTTTTGTTAGATTTGATTTTAAAAAAAAATTATTTTTTAGTTGTATAGCAAAAAAACCAAGAAAAATAAGAAATATGATTGTTGATTTTTAGATTATTCTTATTATTATTACATATATGTATTATGTTAAATTTATTTTGATCTTTTTATTTTCTTAAGTTAATATTTACTATATACAAAAAAAGTGTTGAAATGGCACTTTAAAATCAATACAGAAAACAAATACACCAAGCAACTGTAATAATAAAAATTATAAAAGAAAAACAAAATTAATAATAAACGAAAAAAATACCAACTACATTTATTTGTATATGAGAAAGAAAAAAAACAACTACCTACATATATTTAATATAAAAACAAAACGCATATACCCTGCCCACCATCCACTACCCCTACAAACTATACGATGCTAAAATATAAACAAACCTGAGAACCCTAGTTCATCACTTTTGAACTTGATGTATGTATTGTGAAGAGAAAAAAAAAACATATTTACAATAGCATAACAATAGAACATTAGTTTGTGGAACTTATAAGCTAAAAACTGCAACACAACCATCTCTCCACAATAAGCAAGACCACAATTAGATTTAAAAATACCGAAACCACACATAACTTTATGTGTTTACAAAACAACTAAGAAAAACAAACCAATCATCATTCATTCATTCTGTGACCCCCCATTTTCCCCATACAAACCTACATACATACATATATTGCAAATAATATCCAACAACAAAATGTAATTATTATCTGTATTTAAAAATAGACATGATAAAACGTGAATTGTGTGAAGAAAGATAAAGAAAACATGATGAAACAACCGCAAAACAAATCAATATTATTGTAAAATATTACACCGAAATATTTAGAATAAAAAGAAACAAAACATTATGTACAAACAAAAACTGTGAGTTTTTATTAATTCAGTTCAACGAGGGGATTATTAAACATTTAGAGCCTGCGGCTTAACTTTAATTTAGTTAAAACTCCAATTTTTTTGAATTTTTTTGCAGATGTAAGTATTTTTACCCTGACAGGAAACTATTTTTTTTTTTTTTGAGTTGGGACCCCTGATTTTTGACCCGAAAGTCCTGGTTCAAGACCATGAAAACTTATGAAAATACCTATTCAATCGGAAGTTATAGTGAAATTATCGATTTTTTGGACCCCGACGTCCAACAAGTCGAAAAAGGGCCCATTATGGGGGTCAACAAAATTGATGCCAAATTATAGCTGACACTCTTACCTTTCCAAAATGCTTCAATTTGTGCTAATACCTTTTTCGGGCCCAGAGATATACACTTCTGGGTATGTTTGATCGCTTTCAAAAGATACTTATATTGTCTATATCGGGTAAGTGGTCCGGGTCTAGCCCGGGTCTTGAACTCGGACTTTCGGCCCAAAAATCTGGGGTCCCGGGTCCGCGCCCCAAGAAAAAAATAGTTTCCCGAAACAAAGATACAAATGCCTACCTCTGGAATAATTTTCGAAAAAATCGAAGAGCTTTTACTAAACTAGAGTTTTTCCGGACCTGCTTATGTATGCCAAAAGAAAATAAAACACCAATTCTATGTATGCTTTTCACATTTTAAAACCACATACCAAACCTCGATACCAAATTTTCGAATTCCATCTCTATCCCAACATCCAACGCATTTCCAGAACTACCTCCTTCTCTAAACTACAGACAACAGTGACATCTATTTCAGGATTTCAGCTTTGTCCCTTTACCCAATAACAAATTTTGAACCACTTTTCGAAAAATTATAGTGCAGATTTTCAATACCACCTCCATATCTTAACCACAGACACCAACAGTACATCTGTATCAGATTTCAGGATTTCAACTCTATTCCTTCACCCAATTACAAATTTAATACTATTTAGTACTTTTCGTACAATAATAGTAGAAATTTCAAAAACCACCTCCATATCTCAATTCAAGATATCAAACAGTGACCTCAATATCAAAATTAGGATTTCAGCTCTATCTCTTAATCCAATACCAAATTTAGTACAATTAATTAATTTCGTGCAAATATAGCACGCATTTCCAAACCACCACCAAATCTCAAACACAGATACCATTGGTCATCGATATAACAATTTTCAGAATTTTATCTCTATCCCTGCTTCATCCGTTCAACCCAACTGTTCCAAATTTAGTACAGTTCGCACACTTAGTACAAAATTCTAAAACCATCTTCATATATCAAATTCCGTTTTCCAATACAAAGTATTAAATTGTTAATACATTTTAGTACTTTTCGCAAACTCTGAAAGATTGATAATGAGAGTATTAACATTCGGCCGGGCCGAACTTTTAATACCCTTCACCATTTGGAACAAATTTGGCGATTTCCAAAAAAAAAAAAAACCGTTAAAAATTCTGTTAAAATCTTAAAAATACCGAATGCCTATACGACGACGTGGACCTGCATAGGCAACTTTTGTCATAAGTTATTACAATATTGAAATGCGAAACTTGATGAATAATCTGTTTATAATGTCGCTAAAATCATCCAAATACCGAATATCGGAGGGTACCGTTATATGGGGGCTATACGAAGACGTGGACCTGCACAGATAATTTTCTGTCTTAGGCTGTAGTATCCATTTCGAACTTCAAATACCAAATACCAAATACCAATACCGGTGAATAATGTCGCTAAAATCATCAAAATGCCGAATATCGGGAGGTACCGTTATATGGGGGCTATATGAAAACGTGTGTGCAAAATTTTAGCCTTCTATCTCAATTTGTTCGATAGATAGCGTAACAGACAGACGGACAGACAGACAGACAGACGGACGTTGCTAAATCGTCTTAGATTTTCACGCTGATCAAGAATATATATACTTTGTTGGGTCTGACATGAGTATTTGTAGGAGTTTCAAACGGAATGACAAAATTAATATACCCTCCATAGGTATAAACATTGTTACCCTATGTGGGGAGGTATCAGAAGTGGTGGACCGATATCTTTCATCTTTGTTTTTAAAAATATTGAGAAGTGCGAAATTTTAAGGCAATCGGACTCTTATTGTATATATTATAAGAGTTATAATAATTCATAATTTAGACCCTTTGTCGGGGAGGCACTTGATGCATTGAGCTGATATTGTCAATTTTCACACCTGGCCTAGCAGAGATACAAATATTAGGATTCGCAAAGTTTGCCAAAGTTTAGTTTAGGATTGCGAAGTTCTGGATCTATAAAGTAAATTGTACATGAAGGAGTGGACCGATATTGCCCATCTCCGACATCAATCTAGGTTTGATAATAATATTACCCTTCAAGAGTTATCGTCAGCAACAGGGACGAACACCCCTTGATCGACTCCAAATATCCTGAAACGTATTTCGTCCAAAGAGACCTAGGGTCTAAAACAGATATTTCGATGAGGCTCGTTGTGGGTATAAAAATAAAACAAATCTCAATAGCTTACCAATTCTGTGAGTTTTTTGGTTACAGGGTTCATGTATTTGGTAATTGTGTTAAGCAATGACACACACCATTGAGAATGTAAATCATTCACAATAGCAATGTGTTAAATTGCGAAGGGAAATTGTGTTATATTCGACATCTAATTAAATGAAAAGCCGAGATTTTAAGAATTTCTTCAAAGTGCAAAATGTACAAAACAAATAAAATTAATGAAATTTAAAGTCGGAATTGAAAAATAATGATAAACATAAGCAAAACACAAAATCGTCAAAATATAGCTAAGAAAACAATTGTTCATACAATTTACAATTCTGAAAATTCTGGTTTTACATCTCTAGGAACTTAACAGAAGATGACTGGCGATTTTGCAAAATGGAAGTGTATCTAATGTGATGCGATGATTTCACTGGATCATTTGCTTATGCAACATTTGAACCACTCCCTTGATTGCTAAATACAATTTAAAAATAATAATTCGTGGATTTTTAATTATAGCGATATTTAAGTAAAGAAAATGTCGGGATGTTCAGGTTATTCCGACAAAATTATTGAAATTTGTAATTATTGGTCCTGAGGTGGGCATATCATATTTTTATCACGGAATTCAGTCTACCAATTTTGAAAAATTTTCTTAAAATATTGCAACAGTCTACCAATTTTGGTAAAATTTTCTTAAAATATTGCAACAGATCCATATAATAGTTTCAGCCGATTTCAAATTAAAGTATGTCGAAATTGAAATAGTTCACAATTACTTGTCTTAATATTATACAAATTGAAATTATCATACTTACTTTAAGACATGTTAATGAAATAGTTTTATCGCCAAAGAGTTTAGTTAAGACGTCACGTCAAAAGTGGGCATAAAATTAATGAAAAAATGATTTGACTCCTTTCCCTGCCGTTCTTTGGTATAGAGAAGTGTAATTGCCAACCAACTCATATCATTTGTACCGATGATTTAGCAGGATAATTGGAATCAAACATTAAAGAAAATTATCTGCAGGAAAACATGTTCCAGGTCCGTAAATCGTAAATGATATAAATCATCACGTTTATTGTAAGAACATATGAAGTCTTTTATTAGTTATAACGGAAGCACCACACATAGATTTAATTTATCACGAATACGAAAAGTGCATCTTCTGTAGTCTAATGGCATCAAAACTATTTTTTTTTTTTAAATTAACAAAACTGTTACGATTTTTACAATTTAGAATTTGGTGCTGTACCCGAAATTTTGTACACATATTGATGGGCATGGTCATAATGAGGATTGCAGGCGGCCCGCACGCGTTTCAACCAGGCACGAATTTTGGGATGTTTAATGCGTACATCATAATCAGCCATACCTAAAATTAAAGAAACACCATTTTTATTTTCTTTCATTAAAGCTGCCTTAATTGAAAACTTACGTGTTTGTTCAATTTCACATGCAGCAAAAATATCAGCCACTGTCATTTGATTGCCACACAAAAAATCGGTCTTTTCCAGCCATACATTTTCTACAATACCCAAATTCATTTCCATGTGTGCCTTTAAATTTTCCACCTTTTCAGCTGAAGGTTTCACGCCCGTCAACAAGGGATCCAACCAAACGGTGCGGAAATACAGGGCACATGTAATGCGCAATGTTATGTGCTGCCATTCCAAGAATTCATCGACACGAGCCTGCTCAACAAAATATTTGGGATATAAATATTCGGGAATTTTTCCCTTGGCGCTAAGGTATCTGAAATGAGGGATAAAGATTATGTTAAATATACATTGCAGTGTAAGGGGGATGGTTGAAATTGCAGAGTATGTTTGCCATTCCGTTAGTAAATCCTTATATGTAACCTCTTTAACTGCATAAAAATGTAAACTTAAAAATTTGCAAAAGTGTATGCCGCTTTTTCTCTCAGGAAGCCTTTTCAACAAATTGAATACCTCATTCAAAAATTGTCAATCACTTTTAGATTTTTTAATGGGTGTTACAGGAGCAAAAACACTTCTTTTGTAAATAGGTATGAAAAAGTACCCACCTAAATTGGAACTAAATTGTCGATTTGTTTTAGACTTTCATACAAATACACCTACAAATAGTAGTCTATGAATCTGTAAATTTTACTTGGCTATGTTGCCCTTTTTGTTGAAAATTGGTATTAAAAAGAGCTATACAGGAAGATATTTAGTTAGCGGAACACTCTAAAATTCGAAATTTTAAAGCATTTTTGGGTTCTCAATGGGATCAGACGCAAAGACATTTCCGTAATTTTCTTAAGGTACAGAAAGTATACCCAATATAAGACCTGATTTTGGAGTGGTACTAGGGGAGTTTTTTCTTTTACTGAAGCATGCAGTAAAAGTATAACATTGTGGTACCGATTATGATTCAGAATTATTAGGCATGTGATGGAAATTGAGTTTTAATTCTAATTGTGGTATCGGAATTGAATATATTTTAGTGGCATTTTGTCATAAACAGATATTCCTTTGGTTCAAGGCCCGCATGAAATTATATTTTCAAAATATAATCACAATATCCCTAAAGGTGTCTTTCGAATTGAAGATATTGTAAATCGGTTTGTGCCAATCGAAATACTTTCCATACAGTATGCCTCTATCCTATTTTTGACTAAGATTCCAAATATATCCAAAACTTGTACAAGGTATCTTCCAGTATAAATCTTTCCTGAGTGTTTTTGAATCGTTCAAAAACATGAGGGCTGATGGACTTTGACCAATCACACGTTGCCTATATATGGTATCCTAAATTATTTTTTATTATATACAACGCTCAATGCAAATGCGTATGCACTCACCTCAATACAGCAACACTCTCTGCCAATTTAAAGCCATCATCAATTATGCATGGAACTCTTTGGAAGCGATTGATATTTGTTTTGAATTCTTCAGTTAAATGTTCGCCTAAAAGATGGAATATGTTAAATATTGTTCACATAAAAAGTAGTAAAATGCAATTTGTGCAGAAAATATTCGCATATCGGTAGTTATTAATATAACTATTCATAAAATAACCAATCATCCAGTGCGATAAGATTAGCTAGGGATCTGATTACCACTTACCATTCCTTAGAGCGACCGGACAATCTTCAAATTGCACCCCACTCATTTTCAGAATAATGTACAAGGCCCTAGAGGGCTGTGACATCAAATCATAGAAATATTTTAATGACATTTTGTTGAGTTTTGTCCGTTGTACGCACTAAAATGTAACAAAAACCATAAATTATAATAATTATTTACATTGTATTTAAAATATAAACAAATAAATATTTTGTTTCTCTTTACAAACTTTCTTTTTATTTATTTCAATTCTTGCTATCAACACCGATCTTACCTTCTTTAAGAGCACAGCCCAACTAAGCACAATGTATTTGATTACGGGTTGAAAGCATTTCATTAGTTCGTTTTGTTATTGTCAACGTTTGGCACTCACTCTCTGTTTCGGAGAGAAAAAGAGAGCTTGAGAAATGGGGGGTTATGTGTGTGTTGTTATTGTCTCCCCATTTAATCTTATTGATAACAATTCAACTGAACGCAATTGTAAACAGTGTGAGAGTGGTCCCCACCTCTCTTTTGTTATTTGCATAGGTAAATCTCTCTTCATACAAATCTTGCCCTCTTTAAATCATTTCCACTTGTTGTTCAAACCAAAGGTCATTTTGTTTTAAGTATTTGACTTTCTTCAATGCCATTAACCAACTTTAATAAAATATTTATAAATAATTTGAGCTTTTTTGAAGTAATAATAGAGAAAGAGGGAAAATGTATACTTATTAATAAATTAATTTAAAAATGAATATTAGAAGAAATGGGAAATTTGAGTTAATGTTCGAAATTTAAAAATAACATTGATCAACCATGGCTTGACAGCACAAAGTTCATATGTACACCCTACACAAAACAGTGCTTTGTGATTAAAGAAGGGCAAATATCTAAGCGATTTTTTTAATCAATGATTTTTTTTAATCAATTATAAAATAAGATGATATATATCTGCCAACCTCTTCTGGTACCTCACCCACAAAGGGGCACAATTTCCAATACTTATATATGCCATAACCTGCGAAACAACTCGGCAATTCTTTTCAACTTGCTATATCTAAATATTTTTCTTAATCAGAAATCTGATATGAATATTTATTTTATTTATTTATTTATATCTTCACTTGTAACACAGAAGCCTTCATGGCCTAAAATAAAGTATTACAAAACATTACAATAATCCTGATAATGTAAACTAATTTAATGATATTGGCTCCCCAGCCTGATCTACTAAATAAAGCACATGTTGATGAAAGAAAGGTTGTATGGTCCATTAGCAACAAAATATAAAAATATTAAATTACAGAAAAATGTTCACTTAATTTTAACCGAAAGGCATTGTTTGAGTGTGAAATTTAATTTATCGAAATTTATGATTTCGCATAAAGTTGGACATAAATGTTTGATTTCCTTCAAATTTTGCACATACCAATATTTCTATCTATAATAGATGAATTATGAACATATCATATATAAAGTATAGGAAGTAGTCGATGTAGTCCAAATCAGGAACGTTGTAATATTTTTATCAGTCTTAGGTCAGATACGAATTCGTCTATATTAGCCAACTGCTTTAGATCCTCCCCTATAAAGGGTCAACATTTTGAATAATCTTGACTCAAGGCCGGGGGTATAAATCTATCGTCAAAACCGGCTGATACTATTTTATTTGTTTCAAATATAATTAAGCAAATTATACCGACCCACCATCTGCTCGTTTTTGATACCGACCGATATGTTGAAAAGTATATATGCAATCACCATTGCCATTTGAACATTAATTTTGTTTTTTGTGTTTTTCTTTCAATTTTGTTATATCTCTTAGAAATCGCCCTTTTTGCTTTTGAGTCATAGAATAACAAACAGCAACAAAGTACTGCAAATTATTGGGTTATTGAAAATATTTACTATTACCCATTTGATTCCCTGTCCCAACACTTCAGAGTCTTATATCATTTATAAAAGGCAAGCCGAACTCAATTTTAGATTAGAAATATTAATTTCTTGGCATGCAAGATTCATTGGCTTTTGGACATGATGAACACGTATTTCTGTTCTTGGTTGAATGTTGATTGGAAAACCTTTTAAAACTGTAAACTTTTAAACTCTATAAAAAATCAAGTGATACATACATAGCAAAAAATAACATCAAAGTAGTCGGTCTTATTACAGGGAGTCCTATACATCCGAAATAAGTTTTGGAGCATATAACTGGAAATATTGATTTGTTACAATAACCCGGATTCGACTGTAAACTTATCTTGCTACCTCTGAAATTTGAAAAGATCAAATCGAAACGAAAGAGAAAAGCAAAAAACAAAGAGTGAGCACAATACAATTGTAGGCTATGCATATATTCTCTTTTGGAATTCACACTCCCAAACAGTATCAGAACAATTGCACAGATAAACACAAATTTATTTTAAAACATTGTTAAGCATTCTAGCGTACAGATTAAAGTCTTCCACAACAATGGACACTTCTTTGGAATATTATTTTGATTTTCTTTCACAACCCTCCAGAGCATTATACATTTTACTAAAGGCAAGTGAAACCAAGTTTGAACCTAAAACAATAAATTTGTTGGGAGGTAAGTATTATTGGTGGCATAGAAGTAAGAAAAACTATATTATTTGCCGGTAGATCTTCTGGCTAAAGGGGGTCCTGGGTTTTCCGTTTTGTTTAAACAAATGTTTCAATTTAGGTGAAAATATCCAAGAAGACTACAAACAAATCAATCGTTTTCAAAAAGTGCCGGCCATAATTGATCGAGAACACGACCAACCGCTGCACTTAGCCGAAAGTATTGCCATTCTTCGTTATTTAGCAGCCAAGAATTACATTTCCGATGAATTTTATCCCTGCGATTTTCATCAAAGAGCTCGCATAGATGAATTTCTATCGTGGCAACACAATGGTATTCGTACATCATGTTCCCTGTACTTCCGCTTTTTGTGGGTACAAGAAAAAGTATTTGGTTCACCTGCTTCCGAAGCCAAAGTGGCGAAATATCGCAAGTTAATGGAAATTGATTTGGAATCAATGGAAAATCTTTGGTTAAAAGATAGCGATTTTTTGACTGGCTCTAAGTTGACGGCAGCTGATGTTTTTGGTGCTTGCGAAATTGAACAAATAAGTAAGTCTATCGAGTTATTATATATTTTATTTATTGTATCTATTTTTCAGGATGTTGTGGCTATGAAATCAAAAATAAATATCCCAAAGTATTTGCATGGATTGAAAGGGTGCGTAAAGGATTGCACCCATACTTCAACGAAGCACATCAAGTGATTTATACGTATGAAAAGGATTATAAATCAAAGTTGTAAATATAGTTATTTTACCAAAAGAGAGAATAAATGTTGAACTAGTTTTGGTATTTGGAACTATATGGAGTATTTTTATCCAAAATCGCATGAATGATGTAAGGGAGTTATATAAAAATCTAAATTTAATTGGATTAAATTAGAAATATGTTTTCCCAAAATATTTATGCTATGTCATACCATCAATATCGCAGTCATATGAAGGTTACATATAAATATAAACTGTGATTTCGATCCACTTTAACAAAGTTAGCTTAAAGCAATCTTTGAAACGGCATGTTTGCAGCATATTGTTTTCAATTGATAGGTATGCGATTGGTACAATTTCAATCAGTCTGTGGTCTATACTTGGGCGGAATTCTTGCATCCAATAACGAATACATTTCGATCGAAATATGTTTGTGTGTGCAAATTTTAGATTAATGAAAATGTTGATAAAAAACTAGTTGGGTCTAAATCTAATATTCGATTTACCGAAGTATCTAATGCTCATTTTCAAATTTATTTCAATTGAAAATTGATTTAATCGATTTAGGATTTAGTTTTTTCGCCATGTTAAATTGGAAGACTTCCTAGGCCCATAATTTACCTGAAATCTGATTAGACGGATTATAATAAAATCACGAGGGATAACAAAATTAATCTCAAAAGGGCATTGAATGGCATCTGCACGGAATACGATTTTTGTACTAATTGACATTCAGCGGAAAGAGGTTTCTTTGAAATAAATTTGCTTGGATTTTACAGGTGTGAGGATTTCAAATAAAGGACATTTCAATAGTATGCCAGATTTTCTGATTTACTGTTGTCCAGATGAAAGATTTTTCATTCAAATAAGAGTTTGCAGACGATCTCAAAGGTTTGAAAACCTTCAATTAGGACATTTTAATGGTATGTCAAATTTCCTTTGTTTTACGGTTGTTCAATGGGTTTTCTATCAAAAGTGATATATTTCCACAATAATTTTTAAATTAATTTTTATTAAATATAACTTACACATAGAAAAAAATGTATGCATTTAACTTTCTAATGTAACATGATCCCGATTAATGAAAAATGCTGCAATCAATGCCGTAATTTGAGGACCTTCTGTACAGCCTTTGGCTAAACGTTCTTCTATTGAAGCCATCTTAATAATAATTTTATTCATAACACTCATGGGGAGTTCCACTAAAAAGAAAAATAAAGAAATAATTAATAAAAAGAATTCTATAATAAAAGTACCAACAACTTACATCGCATAATAAATAAATGCAATTCGGTTAAAATGTCATCTAAGGCCAAACCTTTAACTGATTTGATACTTTGGATTTCTAAAAAATATCGGAATTATTATGATGACAAAATTCCTTGAAACATGTTAATACAACTTACCATTATAAGCATCCTCAAAGCTTTTGCATGATAGTAAAGTTTCTAAGATTCTTTCAATATCACGACGCAGTGGATGACCAACACATGTATAAACGCTATCCTCATTGACCTCATCAAAGGCCATACTTGTACTTTGCAAGACATTTAGCACCTTACGCATGTCACCCTTGGACAAAACCATTAAAGCCTTTTTACCATCTTCGGTAACATTTAAACTATAAATTAATAAAAAAAAAATATACATGAACAATATCCACGAAAATGTTATACACTAAACTTACTTTTCCATTTCAATAATTTTGTCCAAACGTGGCAATATCTGCTCCGGCGTCAAAGGAGCGAATCGGAAACGTGTACATCTTGATTGGACAGCTGGAATGATTTTGCTTAAATAATTACATATAACACAAAAGCGTACATTTTCCGTATATTTCTCAATAATACGGCGCAGAGCATTTTGAGCATCATTAGTCATGGCATCTGCTTCATCCAATATAATTAATTTAAAGGTTCCACTGAAGATGGTACGCGTCGAGGCAAAATTCAATATTTGTCCACGCACAATACCAATACCACGATCATCGGAGGCATTCAATTCCAAGACCATCGATTTAAACTGAGCCGGTGTATATAGTTGCTTGGCACATGCCAATATAGTACTGGTTTTACCCGTGCCCGGTGGACCATAGAACAACAAGTGTGGCAATTGTTTTTGATTAATGAAGCGATTGACTGTAATAAGGGAATTGTTTTAAATTTTAAATTAAATAAAAAAAGTATGGAACTTACTTGTTGAAATAATTTCTTCATGTGAAATTAAGTCATCCAATTTCGATGGCCGGTATTTCTCAACCCTTCAAAAAGATAAATATTATTTACAAAAAAAGAAAATTAATAACAATATATATTCCTACCATGGCATACGTGAAGTTTTCGCAGTAGCTTCCTCGCCCATTTTTATTTATTAGCGAAATGTGCAAAATGTACTGCTAAAGACAACGAAAAACAATTTTTGCGCCCTTCCGTTGTCAAAAGCCGGCGACAATCTAGAACAGTGTTGTTATTTTGAGTATTCAGTAACAGGAGTTAGTGCACAACGTAACGTATCATATGAGTGAATGGAGCATGGTAGAAGAATATAGGTAGACGCGTCGACACAGCTGCTGGGACAATGAACTGTCAAACCAATTTTGGAATTGAAAATGTTGAATGGAAAATTGTTTAAATTTGTAAAAATTGTTGAAAAACGCGAATTATAATAGCCTCCGAATGACGTGGTATAAGAAAACATATAAAAATCTACTTATATTTGAAAAAACATTTAAAATTTTTTGACATATCAATGCTCCCATGCGTTGATGCATCTACCTGTATTCTTCTGCCATGGAATGGAGTATATGTCCAAAGTTAAGTTTCAGAACGTGCTAGAATCTACTACCTCTGCAAATTTTACAAGTTTTTACTAGAACACCACCACATTACTCGAAAAAAAAGTAAAGAGTGCAGTTCAATTTTAAAAAACACGAAAAAATATGTCATACGCCGTTAGGTTACTGTACGAAAAAATATTGTACAAAATTGTAAAACCAGTTTTGCTGATTTTAGAACAGAGAATTGAATACCCTCAGACCTATGTCGACATAGATTATATTTCAAATGTCACCAAAATGAGCCACGTCAAAATAACTGTCTTGAGCCTCATAGCCGCTTCAGAACATTTTAAATTGACCCAGCTACTTTCGTCGCTCTGGCAAATAGTTACGCATGAGGACTCTTGTTGTGGAGATGGTTGTGCATATCAGATTTTTTGAAACTTTGCAAATTGTAACATTTTTGCATGGTAGAAGAATATAGGTAGACGCGTCGACACAGCTGCTGGGACAATGAACTGTCAAACCAATTTTGGAATTGAAAATGTTGAATGAAAAAATATTTAAATTTGTAAAAATTTTTGAAAAACGCGAAATATAGTAGCCTCCGAATGACGTAGTATAAGAAAACATGTAAAAATCTACTTATATTTGAAAAAAAAAAAAACATTTACAGTTTTTGACATATCAATGCTCCCAAGCGTTGATGCATCTACCTGTATTCTTCTGCCATGCATTTTTGTCAAGCTTAGATGGAGGCTGAAAATGGGTTATATGAGCTTAGTCCTTCAAGTCATTGAAACTTTACTCGACAACATCGACTCAATCCTTTTGACACCTCTGCATTAAATTGTCAACATTCCGAGTAATCATTAACTTTAAAAATGCTATTTTTCATAAAAATGCGAGTTTAGACTATCAATTCTTGCATAAAAGTTATTTCCGTAAATCTTTGGTATAAACTACTCAACTCTCCCATTCTACTACTTTTTTCTGCAACACTGACACGACACGTTCTTTCATCAGCTGTTTGTAAAACAACAAAAGTTCATTGACGACAGACATACATCATTCACATACATCGTATTTGTCGGCGACAGACTATATAAGAAAAACAAGTGCGAATTTTCTGGAAAATTATTAAAGAAAAACGACAAAAAGTAATTGCGTTCAACTGCTAAGCTGATAGCAAAAATGGCAACACAAACTACGGAGACGATACCCAGTAGTGAATCCATTCAGGATGAGAAAAAAGGTCCCATATTTAAGGAAATTGATGCTGACGAGGCGGTAAATGAGGCAACAGAAATTGAATCGGCATGTATGAATTGTTTCAAGACTGGGGTAACACGTCTGCTCTTGACCAAAATACCATTTTTCAAGGAGGTTGTGTTGATGTCATTCAAATGTGAATTTTGTGGATTTGAAAACAATGAAATTCAATCTGCATCGGAAATCCAAAAGAAAGGCGTTCATATTAAATTGGAGGTTAAGTCTAGTGGTGATTTGAATCGTCGTGTTGTGCGCTCCGATTATACATTGGTTAAAATTCCTGAAGTTGAATTGGAAATTCCATCACAGTCCCAGAAGGGAGAGATTACCACAGTTGAGGGTATCATTGATCGAACGATACGTGGCCTTAGTCAAGATCAAGATAAAAGACGAATTGAACATCCAGATGCAGCGGCCGCCATTGATGCCTACATTGAAAGGTTGAATGACTTAAAGGCGTTGAAGACCAACTTTACATTGGAATTGGATGATATTAGTGGTAATAGCTTTGTTGAGAATCCTTTGGCTCCGGCACATGATCCCAATTGCAAGACAACACACTTCACCCGCACCAAGGAACAAGATGAACTATTGGGTCTATATGATGCCAATGAAGTGCAAGAAGGCGAAAAGAAAATTCTGAAAGAAGATAAGCCCTTGTTAAAACCCATTCCTGAAGGTGAATGGACTTTGGAGGATTTGCATGGTGAGGTGTTACAATTCCAAACGCTGTGTCCCGAATGCCGTTCCCCATGCGAAACAAATATGAAGCTGACAAAAATTCCCCACTTCAAGGAAGTTGTTATTATGGCCACCGTGTGCGATGTTTGTGGCTGTAAAACAAATGAAGTTAAATCTGGTGGTGGTATTGAAGATAAGGGTACCCGTTTTGAGGTGCGCATTGATAGCAAAGAAGATCTTACCCGCGATGTACTAAAGTCGGAGACATGTAATTTACTCATACCCGAATTGGATTGTGAAGTTGGTCCCTCAGCATTGGGTGGTCGTTTTACCACCGTTGAGGGTATCCTAACCGCCATGAAAGATCAAATTGAGGGCAATGATGTTATGTTCCAAGATTCAACAGATGAAGCGTTTAAGAATCGTTTCAAGGGCTTTATTGAGAAATTTGAGAAAATATTATCTTTGGAAATGCCCGCCACCTTGGTATTGGACGATCCAGCCGGTAATAGTTATGTTCAGTCGTTGAGTGATACAGAAGAAGCCGATGCTAAATTACAGGTTACAAAATATGAACGTTCATATGAACAAAATGAAGAGTTGGGTTTGAACGATATCAAGACAGAGAATTATGAAGAGCAATAAGTAAAAATAAGTTTTCTATTGTATTTAAGTTAATTTTGTATATTGTAAGAAATGAGAAAGAATTTTCCTCTGGCGAAATAAATTAGCTGTTTTTACCCATATATTTTAAATGTACATCTGGTTTTTTGTTTTTGAAGGCAATATATTAAGACAAAAACGGAATGAAGACTTTTAAAGGGGAATCGGGAATTGTGTTCGATTCACTTCACAATTCATCAAATGCGAGTAGTGGTAACAAATGTTACAATGTATTTAGAATAAGGGTAATAATTTCAAATGGAATTTCAAATGAAAGTTCTGAATTGAGGTGTTCCTTATTGTATATGGAAAACATGGCCTATATATGGTCGGCCAGTAAGCCCATCTTGCAACTATGTTTGCTGTCAAAAAATATATTTTGATTTGAAATTCAAAAAGAGAGATTAAAATCGCAAAAGATATATTGTGATTTAAAATTCAAAAAGAGAGTCAAATCGCGATACTGCAAAAACTACCAAGTTTATTGTCAAATTATTGTGGAAAGTTGTATTCTTGGCGACCTTATATAGGCTTTAATGAAAATATTAAATTTTTTGAATTTGAAATAGAAATTCTAAATTTCAAATAGAATATTTGAATATAAGTTGAAATTTTCTTAAAATGACTTTCAAATTTAATTTTTCGGGTTTGAAATAGAATTTTGGAATTCCGGTAAAGGGTAAAAAAACTTCTTAAGTATTAAAAATTTAAATAAAATTTTTGAATTTGAATAGTTATTGTCTGAAAATTAGAAGGATTCCTGAGTTTCAATTGTTATTATACCCTCAGCGATATGACTAGAGAGTTTACATATCATTTGATACGGCCAAAAAGGTGCCTCATCGAAATAACGGTTTAAGACCCTAGGTCTCTTTAGACCAAATATATTTCAAGACATTTGAAGTCGATCTAGCAATGTCCGTCTGTCTGACGATAACTCTCGTAAAGAGTATCCGATTTGATCCAAACTTGCTACCTCGCAATATTATTATAAAACTTAAATCGAGTTCGGAGATTGGTAATGTCGGCTCACTCCCAAAATATGATGTAAGGGTCCGATTGTCTTCAAATATTCACAATATTTTTATTAACACAAGGTCTGGTGTGAAGATGGAATATACCGGTACCTCCCCCACAAAGGGTCAAAATTTTGAATATCCATAAAGCTCATAAAACGCGAAATTAACTTTCGATTCCATTCAGACTTGGTACATCTCATATTCTTTCTATTAACACAAGATATGTTATAAAGATGGTAGAGATCGAACCATTCCTTCTGGTACGTCCCCCACAAAGGGTGTTTGAATAACCAAAACGATTATAATTATAAAATCCGAAATAAACATATTTCACACATCCCATTATTTCTACTAATACAAGATCTGCTATGAAGATTTTATGTATGTAGACACATATGGCCGATGGCTCTGGTTTTAGATTTTTCCGAGATTCTAAGTATTTTCTTTAGAAATTTGTCTATTTCTCTAAATATCTTCTAGATAAAAGAATAGTAGATTTTATAGTTTTTTTTTCGAGATTTCTAGTTATTATTTTTTTAGAAATTTTATCTCCTTCACTAGAAATTGTCATATCTTCTAGAAATTGCAAAGCTTTAGAAACAATTTCAGATCTCAAAAATTTTTACCGAAAACGAAAGAAATTTAGAATCGGAAAATTCAGCTGAGATTTGAGTCGAATTCGGAATAAAATGTTAACTGGGATGTGAGCTTGGGATTGTCTAAAATTATGATAATCCAAACAGATATTGAAAAATTCGTCGAACCAGGTCCGAAACGAGACCTACGTAAGGTCGGCCAAGAAGGCTACTTTTGACCAATATTTTAGGGTGTTGTAAATAAAATACCAATCTTGTAACATTCTTGAGTGATATAAACCATAACAGTTAAGGTCTTTAACCCTTTCAGTGTTTTTGTCAAATATATTTGACATTTAAAAGTACTCTCTTTCTTTGCCATTTTTTGTTTTTCTTACGAACCGTTATTTTTGATATTTTTTAATAATATTTTTTCGCTATTTAAAAATATTGCAGTTCTATTCTATTAGTTTCGTTTTCGAATTTCTGAGCACATTTTAGTAAATTAGTACGGAATTTCAGATTTTTATCTCGACAAAAATTTTCATTGACACTGAAAGGGTTAAATAAAGCTCTGTTAGACAAATGTAAATAACATAACTGAAAGTCATCCACATTCAAAAGCTTTCTGTAAACATTGGCATACAATCCTCAAAGTCCCCAAAAAGCATGAAAAAAACGGGAATATGTTGGAAAAAGTTATTAGCTATTGTGTAAGATTGTCATTACTCCTGGGTAAGACGTAGTTGTTGGCAGGTCGCATGTGTGTGTGTGTAACTTGGGGCCATACTATTTATTTGGTACAGTGCTGCGATGGCATTAAGTTGAAATATATTAACATCGGCTGGTGGCGGCCGGGTGATATATAAAATGCCGTTAGCAAAATCTTAAATACATCTTTATAACAACTACACACACCCACACATATGTATGCCTGTATATGTGTCATCATGTAAAGAGAAATAACAATAGACCTCTATTTCATGCTGCTGTTACACTATGTCCTGAATGTAATATTGTGTGTGTGTGGGAAGAAACCAGTAGCATTTAAAGCAACAACAATAGAATCAGGAAGATCTAGGTCAATTGGATAAAACATAAACGACAGAGTAGCAAGAAAAAAAAAAAACGTATCCCAATACAAGAATGAATGTACATATGTAGGAATGAATATCGCAAAAAAGGAACCGAAGAACCAAGAAATTGACACTAATCGATTTATCGTCGAAAGGACACTCATGACCAAACTTTGTATGGGAAAAGGTATAACTTTTTCTTTGCAATTGAGATAATCATAGACATGTCTAATGTCCGGCTGAGATGCGAAGCATGTAATGAATATTTGCCATTGACACTTTGGGCATTAATAGTTATGTATAAGGTGAGAACTTTCTAAAGTAGCTTCGTAGAGGAGTGATTAAAGAAAGATTACATATGCAAAATTCAAGGCATTTAAATAATCAGTTCCATTTGATTTGAGTTTTTCTCAGCATGAAACCCAACTACTTTGTTGAGTTCGATCTTATTATGAACTTTTACATTATATACAGTATATATGTTCAAAGAAAAAGTAAAGAAGCCGTAAGTTTGGCCGGGCCGAACTTTAAATACCCTCCACCAGTTGGAACGAATTTGGAAATTTTCAAAAAAAAAAAAACAAAGTCGGTTAAAAATTCTGTTAAAATCTTAAAAACACCGAATAAAGCCGTTATATGGGGTCTATACGAAGACGTGGGTAACTTTTGTCATAAGCCATTACAATATTCAAATACGAAACTTAAAAAAAATCTGGTGGATAATCATCAAAATCCCGAAAATCATAAGTACCTCCCTATATATACCGTTATATCGGGGCTGTATGAAGACCTGGAGCTGTATAGACAATTTTCTGGACAGCTCAATCTTTTGTCTGCAGGCAGGTCAAGTTCGAAGTACCAAAATATCATATTTCGTATTTAAACTTCGTAATGGGTCTTCGTATATCCCCCATATAACGGGTTTACTTTAAACGAGATCTTTCCACGGATGTTTTTTGGAAAATTTTCAAGTTCCTTCAAAATGGTGATGGGGTATGAAAAGTTAGGCCCAACCGAACTTTGTTGCTTTTTTACTTGAGACTTTTGTTATTTTTTGTTTAGATTTAGGGGTCAAAGCTGGGCGGCCATAGGGAGAGAGCAGTAAACGCTAAGCTTCTCTGTAATATGTGTATGTTGTGTTTTGACCCCTTTTTCATACCCTAGGATTGACGATGGCAGGTCCTGCGTTTCAATTCAAATGTAGTTATTATGCTAATCTCAGGTGCTACTAAATTTCTCTGATTTTCCGGGGCCACTCTCGTGTTTTAGCTGCGATCGGGCGGTATTCACTCTGTGCGGGGTGGCCTTTTAAAAACGACATTCTTCAATTTACATCCCTGACTTTCTTGAGACACCTTCCTTTACTATGGCGTTTGCTTCCATCAAGCAATTGTTTGGGCGCCAGTCGGACGTAAATATTCAAAATCAAGATTTGAAGGATAGATTATTTATTCAAGTCCTAAAATTGTCTTTAAACAGCCTTACAGGTTCATATGGTTGGAAATTAAAGGATGACAGAAAACGTGATTCATACAGCTCGTAACAAAAAATATCCAGACATTCCCAGTTGCCAATCATCAACAAAAGATCGCAACAAAATCAAAAATAAATAGCTTTAATCACTTTTCCGTTACCTAAGTCGAACGCACTATGAATTTCGAAAAAAAAAGTCACACATGTGCTTGGGTGGCCGTTTGCGTATTCCTTAATTACTTCGCGTCGGGGTTAATAATATAGTCTTGCTTTATACGCCTATTGATATGGGAGTTCTCTGTTATACTGCTCTCTCTCAATAACATGGATGTCTTTTCAAAATGGGGTCATGAGTAGGGCGTTCAACTTTCCTGAACTACGTTAATCTTCAATTTACAGCCCTGATTTCGGCGTGACTCTTTCTAATATTATGGACATAACATTAAATTAGTGTTTGGGCGCCACTCACACATAAAAATTCAAAATCAAAATGTAAAGTGTAGAAGTTTTGAAATTGTCTTTTAACAACCTTCACGTTCATACACTTTGAAGATGAACGTAGATTTCTCGTTGCTGGGGCTAGGCAAGGACAAAAAACAAAATTCATACATATTGTACCAACGAATATCCAGGCATTTCCAATTGCCAATCACGGGGTCTGAACACAATCGGGAATACATAAATTCAAGCATGGCTTTGTAGAAGGAAATCTAATACAATACCGCTGGGGAAATATAAAAATTATAGGTCTTTGAAAGTGCGCTTGGGCGCCAGTTGCACGTAGTGATTCTAAAACAAAATTTGAGGGAATACGAATAACTTATATTTGACTAATGTTGAACGGAAGAACATTTTAGATGTGATGCTTTTAATAAAGCATGGCGTTTCTCAAAGGTTTCTACCCCTGGGCCAATTTCGAACATTTAGGTCGTTAAGCATGTGTTTGGGCGCCAGCCATAGGTAAACATTAAAAATCAATGATAACCACCTCTTGCAACTGCTATTACCTTGTCAAGTAGGACATTGCATTATAGGTAATTTGACATCTTTTTAAGCCGATCGGTGGACTTTATAACCATAAATCTAGTTCCCCACACAATATTGTCGCCTATATTTCGAATTTTGTTTCTCATCAACAATTATGCCATAGAGTTTTCCTTCCATTTATTAAAAATTTCAGACACAAGCTTCAATAAAAACAAATTTTCATTAAAATGTGGTCTAATAAAAGTTATGGGTCATGGAAATATCAAAGGCAACAATTATAATAGGAATTAGAAGGATGTAATTGTGGCCAGATTTCCCGCAAAATCTACGACCACTAATCTAATTTTTGGCATCACGTATAACATGGGTAGTGTGATTATTATCGTCATCATCATCCTCATCATCACAGCAACGAGACAATATCAAACCTGAAAATAGCAACGCACATGCCGTTCCTCATCTATTATTTAATAATGACTATATCTCCGGATACCTATTTGTCAGTTCATAATGTTTACTTAAAGATTAATTCATACATATTTTGCATAAGACTCGTGAAAGTATGTGTGAATGTGCTCGAGCAACATTAGCAATCATAAATGTTAATATGTGAGGATGTAAGTATTGCACTCATTGTCTTCTCTTTGTTGTTGTTGTTATTATTATTGTCTGTTGTGTTATTTTTACGCATTACACAAATTTTGTATGGGGTCGGATGTTGTAATTTGATGTAACTCGCTCCCTCTCTCTATCTCTGTTACTCTTTTGTTGACTGCTCATTCTCTGTGAGAAAGAGCATCATTGCCATGGAGACGCAGAAGTAAGAGCAACTACGTTTTAACTTGTTATAATTGGAGTTCCCAGAAGAATATCTCTCTTTATTTCCTTTGTTGCCATTTTCGTTGACACTTTTTCGCATTCATTCATACGAACCAGCAGCAGTTGTGTGCCAAAAACACCCTTAACATTCAGTTGCGAGTACACACATACACCAGACTCCAAAAGACACAAAAAAAAACCAAAACAAGGAAATAAAAACAAAACAACAACATAACACAACTTTCATTTGGCGCTCTTTGTGAGTTTTAATGAAAATTCCAATGGTGTTTCTGAACAAAACGGGGAGTGCATACAGTGAGTTTTTTGCTAGCAGGGCCTTATTTCAAATAGAACATAGAACTATTCAAAGTAAATTGGGAGGTTGGAGATTATAAGTCAGTAATACCATAGACAAATAAAGGTATAGACTAAAAAGTTTTAAAATATTCCCTTCCGGCAGATGTCACTATTGTTGATCTTGGGCCAGTCAATTTTTTTTAATTTATAAATAATAAAGAATCATAAAAAATTTTAATATTTTGTATTTTGAGAGAATTGAGTGAGTCTACTGAACCTCTCTCACACCATGAACGACATCTATTGAAGCACTTATTCAGATATAACAGATGAGACAACTTTTTAGTCTATACCTTTATTTGTCTATGGTAATACCAGCACTGCTCAAAACATAAGTCCATAAATGAGATTATTTAAGAGAAAACTAAATTCAATTTTTTTATATTAATAAATTCATTTCATTTGTTTTTAAAATTGGATGTTGTCCAGAATTATTAATAAAACGAATTATTGCAAAAAATTTATAAATTATGTTTTAACACTGGTTTTTTGATAATTAAAAAACTAAGAGAAATTAGACTGATTAGAAAATAATCTATTATTTTAACTACGATATTTTTATTTTAACAAAAAGAAGTCTGGAGCGGTCAAATCAGGCGATCTTGCCGGCCAATGCGAATCGGGAGATTAGGCGTCGGGGAAATGCATCCTTCAGCATATCGATAGTGGCACGTGCAGTGTGTGCCGATAAACCGTCCTTTTGGAACCATATGTTTTCCAATCCCAACTCATCGAGTTGCAGCAAAAAGAAGACGTTGATCATTGCTTTGTAGTGCTCACCATTCACAGTAACCGTCTGTCCCGCGACTTATTCGAAGAAAAAAAGGTCCGATGACTCCTTCAGCAAAAACAGCACACCATACAGTGACACACCATACAGTGATCATCACTCATGATTATTTTTGATGGAAAAGCTTCTTCTTCTTGGTGTTGAATAAGGATAGCTTGAGCGTATGTTAGACGTGATTGGCTAACAGCTGATGCACCATCTGGACTTTGTACAGAACCATTTTGTACCAAAATTCGCTGTAAAGACCGCCGACTGATACCCATTTGCGTGACACGTCCGTCGTCCATGACATCCTGGGCTACAGCAGCAATATTCTCGCCTGGCAACAACTTTTGTTAAAAACGTTGCAGTTTTTCACCAGTAGACGGCCAGGAAATCTGCGACGAAATTCCTGTTGTGCCAAAGTCACCGACCAATTATTGGTAAAATAAAACGTCAACAATATTCCGCGTTCTGGAGCAGTGTAGCGTAACATTATTTATTAACGTGTATTTCGCATGAGTTTACTAAAAAATGTCAAAACAGAACTGATATTAGGGGGTAATCGTAAAATTTATAGCATTTTGTGATAGGAGTATTACTTTTGCTCTTTTAACTCCCTCACACCCCTAAAATGCTCTCCACAACAACGATATTTGGTACCAACTATTATATACAACATAGAAATATCACTGCTAAATCACTCCCTGACGATATATTTATATATTTTCAGAAGTGTAAAAATTTACGAATTTTCTGAGCCCTATTTTGAATACCTTCCGATGAAAAATTTCAAGATGTCAATACACTTGTCTCTTATTTTTAGCTTTTCTTTTTAATATACTCTGTTTTTCTTGTAACTATTGTATTTTTATTTTACAACGGCAATGACTTGATAACACCCTGTTCATACGAAAAATCTCCCACATTGCAAATTCTGCGAAGCATCACACGACATTACACATAATTGATGCGAAAAGTTCTCTTCCACTTCCGTTATTCATAGCAGGCAGCATTTGTGTTTTGCGTTTGCCACCAAGTCGTGCTCAATGTTGTTTGTTTGAGAATGAAAAAAACATAAACAGAGAACATACGGTGTGTAGGTATAATGAAATTGGTTAAAATGGGAGAGTATGAATGGCTCCCATTGGGAGAGATTATATTCTAATGAGAACACTTTTGAAACGGAAATAAAGAGCGGGAAAGAGCTGGAAAGTGAATGATGCGAAGAAGAATATTTGCAAAAATTGCTGGGTACATGTAACTCGAAATATGTTGTGGAAATCTGGGCACACGAAGAAGATGGTAAATATGTATGTGCAACACAATTGAGAAAATTGAGAGCACACCAAATACACCTTTGCTGGTGCTGGGATATCACAGTTATTCTGTTTTCGAGTGTCGACGTGAAAAGAACGTTAAATTTCGAGTACGGACGGTTGTTGATTTCAGAAAAAAGCGCTGCTTAGTGCAGTTATTCTAACTGGAAGAACAAAAAGAAGAAGAAGAAAAAAATAAAAAAAAAACAAAAGCAAATACTTACCAATGGAAACGGTTTTGATGAAAGAAGTGCAAAAATTTTCAAAATAAAACAAAAACGAATCCTTTTTCGTTGCCAAAAGGATTGGTGGAAAATCTAAGGAAACCGGTAAAGAAAATTTGAAAAGTTTTGAAAATTAAAAATAAAATTTTGGAAGTGAAAACAAAGTGTGTGTGACTTGTAAATTTCTAGTGTATATACAACATCAAACGAATCGTACCGGATAAAAGTGTGTGTGTGGTCATGTGTGCTCTTGTTTGTCGGTGTATGCCTTACATTTGTCCCGAATACAAACTTGATTTGTAATGGTGCTCCTGCTGCTGCCGCTTCTGATGATTGTTCATGGCGGGATGCAGGACCAAAAGGCCGATAGGCCAGTTGCCTGCCAGCCAGCCAGCGAGCAATGATAACCTCAACCTGACCCATCAGCAGCAGCAGTTGCATGCAACACGCACCTACAATATGAGAGAGGCACACACACACATTCTCACATTGAAACTATTGCAAAAAGTACATACTAAAGGATAACAACTCGTATCGTATCGTCGGTGTCGTTTGTTCGTTCGGTCGGTGCTAATATTGTTGTTGTTGTCGTTGTTATTGTTTTCCCTCTATTAGGGGCCATCGTCCAGTGTGTATTTGTGTGTGTGTGTGTGTGCGTGTATATCGTAATAGTAATTGATGCTGGAACAAATCCAAAATCTATCTACCAAACCTCCAGCATAGCAGCAGGATATACCTACCCATGGATGAAAATTACATAAAAGCCGAACTTGAATAGTTTTGGCCAAGGTGTATAGAAATTCTGGAATAAAGTTAAAGTTCGTTTCACGATCATGTTAGGGAGCAATGGAGATGGTGTGTATGAATGTATGTCTGTTGTTGGCAAAGGGGGTATTCCCTTGCACTCGTAACGACAACACCTAATACTATCGCTTTCGTTTTTACGTTTCATGCCAAGTGTATGTATGTAGGACCCCAACTACACAAACACACCGTGTGTCCTGTCACTTTTGCACAAAGGGAAAGGGGCAATTTTTTACGATTTGTGCAGCCATAAGATAAACAGTAAAAAAAGGATACTCCAAAGGATGAATTGGCATTGAAATGGATACATATAATTTTTCAATTTGGAAATTGGTTGATATTAACATGGTTGTAGTTGTTGGTTCTTTTTTATTGTTCTCTATCTCTGTTGAGTGTCTCGTCGTTTTTTAGGAGATAAATTAGAGTTTTCTTTGGCCAACTGCAAAAAGGATGACAAAATTTAAAAAGTGACCATAGTAAAATTTAATTGTGTCATTGACACGCCCATTTTTCATTTATTTTGAAGTGTATATTAGGGGTTTTGTCGATAAAAATAGTATTATTTTTAGATCCTGGAATCAAATTATTACTAGTTTTTGATAAAAGATTATGGCACTAATTTACAATCTGGAAAAGCGTAATACAGTAATTTTTTGAATGTTTGGGATTTGATAAACCATTTTGATCCAAAAGGCCAAATGGATCCCGTTAAGAAATATGGTTCAAATCAAAATTTTGGCTCAAAGCATTTTTGTTTATTAAAAACCGTAATGTCGCACTCGTCTCGATCCAGATCACATTCAATTAGTTTGGATTGTTTTTGCAAAAGTACGAAGTTTCGCCTTTAAAGACAATTTTTTTATCATACTTTGGAGGATTATAAATCGTAGTAATTAAAAACTGCCTTTTAGTTAACTTGATCATCCTGAAAATCCCTTAGAAATGGTGGGTTCAGGTTCGGTCATATGCCAAAAAAACCTAGAAAATTTTCTGAATATTTTTGCAAGATATGATTCTAATTTGATACGAATTAAAAGCATCAAATGGTGGTCCATTCAGTTAAAACAATGTGGTTAGGAGCTTCAAAATGCCCATAATTGGGGGCTACTGTTATATGAGACTATTTCAAAACCTGTACATACATAGAAAAATTTTAAAATATCAGATGGGCTGGTGTCGCTGTGTAGGCTTATGTCTAAAGCGGATTTTTAAGAATATTTTTTTTTTTCAAAGGACTAATCGTGGATTTTTTGGGATACTTTTCAAGCAATAATGCGATTTTTGAGAATATGTTTTGCAGCTGCTAATCGTGGATTTTTAAGAAATTGTTTTTAAAGATTATCCTTGGATTTATTAGAATATTTTTTCAAGGACTAATAGTAGATTTCTAAGAATTTTTTTCAAGAATAATCGTAGATTTCTAAGATTTTTTTCAAGGATAATCGTTGATTTTTTATGACATTTTTTTCAAGGACTAATTGTGGATTTTTACGACATTGTTTCAAGGACTAATCGTGGACTTTTAACGATGCTTTTTCAAGGACTAATCGTGATCTTTTGAAATATCATATCAAGGACTTATCATGCATTTTTAAAAATATTTTTTTCAAAGAATATTTTTAATTTTACCGTTGATCTTTAAGTAGATTTTCCAAGGCCATAAACCATAGATTTTTAATTTTTTTGAAGAACTATCAGACTATTAATTTAGGAATTTTCAAAAAGTAGTTTTAAGGACTCAATCACTAATAATTTTTTAAATAATATACATTTCCTGTATTTTTAGAGTACTTTGAGGTTTTTAAGAAAATCGTTTCAAGGAATATCAGGACTATTTTCAAGAATTATACATGAAAACAACAATCCCGGAATTTTTAAGAAACATTTTCAAGGACTACAGACTAATAATCATGTATTTTTAAGAAAGTCGTTTTAATTACTATCAGGACTATTTTCAAGGACTTTACATGAAAACACCAATCGTGCGTTTTGAAGAAAATTTTCTTGAGATCTATTAGATTACTTATGGATGATTTTAGGAATGTTTTTGCATGTTTTATCAGATCCATTATATAAATTCAGACCCCGAATTTATAAGAATAATTTTTCAATGATCATCATCAGATAACTGACAGTAATTTTTGAGGTCTGTCAGACTAATTTTTAATATCCATATTGTGGGAATATAAAGTGGAAAGGTCATTGAAAAAAAACAAGCTTGTTATACCAAAATCTCGCTGGTTTGATAACATGGAACATTTAAAGTGTCTACGACTATAAATAAAGCAACGATTAGTACTTTTTGACATAATTTTTCAATACCACCAGCGGTTTTCGAATACTTCATACCAAGAGTATTTATAATGCTAGATTTTAGTACTCCAGCTCTGGTCGAAAGTTTTATTACCTATGTTACTTTTTTAAATTTTGTAGAATAAGTTAGCTTCGTTAGGAAACTTACCAGAATTCTACATACAACATTTAGTAAATATAAGTAGGAATGGTCACAAATTTTACTATATCATGCTTCACCTTTGAGAATCCAGCATGAAAACAAGGAGTGCACAAAAGCTCTACTTTATATCATGCCCCGCACCATAACGAAATTTCAGCAGTCTGTAAAGCACAGAAATTCGGCTCGAAAACACCATTGACCATTCCTTTTTGGATCGATATATTTAATCCTTCATATCTAGTAAGTTTAGAAAACCGTTACAAATAAAATTATCTGGATTTGGAATGAGCCTTCAAAATATAATACATTGGGTGGTTTCGTTATATGGAGACTATAACAAATCGCGAATCTACTAGGGATACATTTCTGCCAGAGGCATTTTATCGATTACTTGTTTCAAATATCAAATTTTTAATAATTTCCTTAAAAACAAAAATGGTTTAATCATGAAAATACCAAATATCGGGAGGTACCGTTCGTGGGGTCTATAGAACAATTTAGACCCATATGGATCTCTTTCTGCCTGAGAGAATGAAACCACGAAGAAGTTTAAACTTAATTTAAAACTATTTTTTTCTGTTTAACAATGTGGCTAAAATCATCAATATACCGACTATAGGCTTATATTAGGTAATTTTCTGTCGCAGGAGGTAATACCCATTATTAAACCCAAATTTTGCATTTAAAACAATTCCGGTGAAAAGTTTAAATATCGAGACTTACCGTTTCGTGAGGTAGTACCGATACAAAGTCCAAATATCACATTTTTGACATAAATCATCCAAATGACGAATATATGGAGGCGTTTAAATGTTCTGCAAGAATGCTTCCTACATTTTGGGAACACATATTTACAACAAATTCGGTTAATAATTGTGTTTTAAACACTCGAAATATACATTTTCAATTAAACGGACCTAAAATACATTTAAAGGTTACTTTGTCCACATTCCTCTCCGTTCGGAAGCTAGAGTGATTTCCAGGGCAGGGCTAAATCGATATAGAAAGTTTATGTTGACTCAATTTTACACTTTGTGGAGACAAAAAAGGATATTTTATAGGAGTTAATAGTTTTACGATTTGATGATTTTTAGTACTTTTTTGAGCCTCCCTTTTCGCGAAATTTCAACATTCTTTTTGTAAATGTGAAAAATTTTAACTGGGAAACACATTTGTTGGTGTGTTCTTCGAGTTTGTATTTTTAGTACAAATTTCCTAACACCCATTTGATTTTCGTAGTTGCCTTTTTTCAAGCACTTGTTACACCCTCAGTCACATGACTATAGAGTGTGTATATAATTTTACACGACCAATACTGGCCCTACCGAAACTACGATTTTAGAAGAGATATCGGTCGGGCAATATCGGTCCACTCCTTTTAATACACCCCTAACAAAAGGTCAACATTTTCAAAGAAACCAATTTACCTCATAGAAAGAGAAAGGATCTTCAGACCATGTTCTTTCTAGTATCTCCCACACAAAGGGTTAACATTTTAGCATAGACGGTGAAACAAGACTGTTGCTTTTCTCAATAAAAATTTTTTTCCCTGAAGATGACTGTCGAAGACAGTCGAAATATCGGAAAATAAAAATCAAAATTATAAAAATAAAACACTGATGTTTTTCAATTGACCTTAAGCCAAAATAAAGTTAATAAGGGATAACATTTTAAGTAATCATAACCCTTAAAAACTATTTAAGTTTTTAAAAACGTTGCCTCATCAGTCCGTCCGCCAAAAATAGTGTCGTTGGTATTTTTTTTTGAATTAAGCAATTTTAGTATCCTCTTAGCACACATTTTATTCACTCTTCCATTTTTACCCCTTCTCGCCGTAAATTGAACTCTACTTCTTCACATTTAGTTTTCCTAAGAGCTTCGGTTTTAATACCAACTTCGTACCAAAATTTAGAATTCTTTAAAAAAAATCCAAAAACTGTTTTTTTTTCTTATAAGGAATAACATTTTGCCACTCTTTGAGTAAATAAGCAATATGAACTTCGTTAAACTGAATTTCAGAATTTCAGGCTCTAAAAGTACATGACTCAAAAACACAATTTTATCTCTTTCCCACCCCAACATTTAGGTGGCACTTATTAGGATTTAGTGCTTTTGTACCCTTTTGGTACAACTTTTCACATACCCTGCCGTTTTCGACCACTACTCTCTACAAGTGAACCTCGGGTCAACCTTGTGTGTTCAAGCTCCACTTATTCATATTAGGTCTTTTATTGTAGAATATTTGCACATCGTCGAGTAAAATTACCTACCAAATTTCTAAACTTCCAAACAACTTTAGTACCCATTTCTAAAAGCAACATCTTATCTTAGCCTCAAAAAGCGACATTCGTACAAAATGTATGGATTTAGCTCCCAACGCTACTTTCAACTATTTCGTGCTTTAGTACCCTTTAGTACTAATTACTGTACAACCTGTCAATGTGACAGTAGAAGTCAATCTTATGTCAAATGCCAGTATATATATTTTCGAATTTGGTATTGTTTTTAGTACTCAGAACATGTAAAACTCGTCGCAATCGAACTGTGTGCCACATTTTAGATTCTAGCATTAATATTCAGTACTTTTAGAATATTTAAGTGCGATTCCCCAAAAACGCCATTTAACTTCCAAAAGAAATTTCCAAATTCTAGCTCTAAAATGCTGGATTTTTCAAATATATTTCATATACGATTAAGTACGATTCCCAAAAACCCAGGTTGATCTATGGACAGCGAACTAAAAGTAATCCACATGTGAAGTTTCAAGATTCTAGCTTTAGACGTTTCTCCTGAAAATTGCTGGAACTACGTAAAATCAGCTAAGAATTTTGTCTAAATTTTCTGGAAATTCGGACAATGAACTAAATTCTACTGCGAAGTTCTTCCCCTTTTTGCTATTACGGCCTATTTTTTGCACTTGTTTTTAAGACTGTTTTTCCTCTCTTTAAGATTTATGGCTTAGATTACCTGCGAAGTTTCAAGATTCTAGGTTTAGACGTTTCTCTTGAAAATTGCTGGAACTACGCAAAAGCAGCTAAAAAAATTGTCTCAAATTTCTGGCAATTTGGACAACGAATTAAATTCTACTGCGAAACTGTTCTCCTTTTCCTACTACGGCCTATTTTTAGCACTTGTCTTTAAGGTTGTTTCTTTCTTTAAGATTTATGGCTTAGATTAGCTGTCTGCTCTTTATGGCGGGGTTTCCCCTCCAAAATAAAAATGTCTGCAAAAATAGAATAAAAAGGCGAAATAAAAATAAAAGAACCAATGAAAACTACATGTTTTGACTACAAAGGAGCCAAAGAAGAAAAAAAAAAAACATATCCACTTAGTTGTTCTGGATCATAGACCAGGAGACATACTTCTACACACACACACAGATTCACTCAGGCACTCAAAAATCAAAAAACCTAAAGCCAATCTTTGTGTGCCTGTGTGACCTCGTTAAAGCCATACTGCGTAGCAGTTTGAGGATACAAACTACGACAATGGTTTCAGGCAGTTATGTTGCGTGTATGTGTGTGTGTGAGTGTGTTTTGCTATTATTATGCTAAACAAGAGGGTTGTTAATGTGTGACCCCCCTCCCATTGTTATGCTGTTCTGTTTTTGTTGGTGGCAGCTTGTCTGCTACAACGCATAACACTTCCTTTCGTTCTCGGTCCTCGGAGACGTTACAAATAAAATGCGTTACGCATTTTAATGCAAAAACAAGAAACAATCATAAAACTGCCAACAACAACAAGAGGAGTAGTGGTAATGAAAATAACAACAACGTACAACAGTTAACCGACCGAGTGAATAGCCAGCCAGCCAATCGGGACATGGCTGAGTAGAAGAAAAAAAAAAGGCGCAAAAATTCAAATGCGTAATAAACACAAAGCGGACAGGACACGCACAATCTGCAGATCCCTGGCATAAGAGAATAGTTTGTCATAAATAAAAGTTCATGTGTTGTTGTAATAAATGTACAATAACAAAAAAAAGAAAAGCTTAAGAAACCCAAATCTGTTTCAAGTGTGTCCTCACGGCTAGGATGCGTGTGCATGTGTGTGTGTGTGATTAAAAGTGTCATAAATAAAGCTAATGGGTTCTGAAGTGCCACATAAGCGGTTTTTATTACAATTCTCCCTTCCAATGTCTCTGTCTTTAGGAAAATCTAAGAGAAAAGAACAAGAAAAAATCTCATTGAGTATCCCCCCATTTCCCACCCTCACTAATCCAAAATCTATGTGACTTATCCCGTCAAAGAAAAAACAGAAAATCAATAAATTAAAGTTCAATTTCAAGCAGATAAGCCCTCCCGAAACTCAACAGCTCGCGTGAGGGCCAAGTGTTAAAAATTTCACAACAACACCAGCAACAACATGGATAGCTCTCCGGATCTATCCCTGAAATTGCGGCGTGGATCCAGCGATTCACGTGACAACTTCTATATGGATTTTGCTCAAGGCATTGATTCCGACATCGAAGAGGTGGACAATACAGCTCTGGATCAGGCCACAGCTCCACCCTTGCCGTTGGTGGGTGATGGCATGGATTACATGGTCATACCACCTCCGCCCCCGCCCTCAGTTATGACCATAATGCAGCAACAGCAGACCATGGGCCTGCCCACCGTTAGTGAACACGACGATACACCTCCAACACCACCGCCGCAGATGACAGTCTTGCCCTCGCCACCAGCTTCGCCCACAACGTCCGTCTTGGAAATGATGCCACCGCCACCACTCTCCCCACCACCACCACCAGCAACCACTGCTTCATCCTCCATTCATTCCAATCGGGTTTTACCCCAGCCACCTTCACCACCTCTGGAGACGGAAGATGAAGAAGATGACGATGATGTCGAGGAGGAAGATGATGATGGGGCTGAGGCCGATATTGAGGCCACCGATAATGTGGAGGAGACTCCGGATGAAGAAACCTCTGGCAAGGAAACCGATGACAAAGAGACAGAGGGTGAAGATGACAATGACGGTGATGATGAGGGTGATAAAGATTCTCCACCTCCACCATTGCCACCCATACCCTCCCATCTAACCTACAATCGACCACAGTCAACGCATCAGGCCAACAATGATGAAGACGACGACGATGATGAGGATGACAGCCACTTGCCCAAGCCAATGCAGGGTCGCACACCTTCCACCTCGCCCTCGCCACCTGTAACACCCCCACCATGTCCGGAACTTAGTTCCATACAAAAAATTGTCTCACCACCGCCCACACATGTTTCACAGATACCACCTTTAACCCCACCCTCGGAGAGTGATCAATCTCAGCCCAACTCTCCACCACCCATATCGAAACACTCACCTCTGACCATGCCTTCAACACCACCACCACCACCCGAGTGTGATGTGGTTGATGATGAACAGCCACCCACACCACCACCCGAGTTCGATCAACAAGACGATCCGATCGAAGATTCGAAACCAAAAGAACCAGACGAAGATGATGAACCGGAAATAGATTTATCTGGTGTGTCCGGAGAACCCTCAATGGATTTGGTACAAGAGGTTCTGCAGGAGGCAGCCCAAAAGGCCATCAATGGTGAAGAGAAATCCTCTCGGGATGATGATTCCACCACCATAACCACACCACCAACCAATGGCTATTCGGCCTCCTCCATGTATAATCACCAGGCCGAGGAGCCCATGGATGAGGCGGAACAGGAACAACTAATGGCCAATATACCACCACCAGCTGGCCTGGAAGATCCCGCCGAAGATGAGGATGGCACCAAGACCCCTGTGTCGGAAACAAAGCCATTAGATCAGGATGAACTATCCTCAGATAGGGCACCACAACCACCTTTGGAGGAGGGTAATGAGGACAATGAAAAAAGGTCATCAATGCCCGGAACACCAACATCACAAGTTTCGCAACTCTCGCAGCCGACACCAACACCTACGGTGTCGGGTTCACCCAAACGTAAAAGTAGTGTTACAAGTGCAACAGGCGGAGGAGGAGGCGGCAGCGGCGCAGGAGGTAGTCGTGTTCCTAGTCGTAGTGTTAGTCGCAGTGGCAGTCGCAGCGGCAGCCGTACCGCCAGCCGCAGTGGCAGTATACGAGGCGGTGCTGGCGGCAGCATTAGCTCTAGGGCTGGCAGTATTGCAGCAGCTTCGGTAGCATCGGCTGCAGCTTCCATTGTCTCAGCTTCGCAATCCGTAAAAGCCGAGGCAATTACCTCACCACCAATTTCTCTAAAATCCATACGCAGTCCACCGGGTTCAATACGTTCGCATACATCCAAGCACAGCCCTTCGCTGTCGCAAAAAAGTCATCACACAGCATCCGGCGAGGAGGCTAAAGTGGCAAGTCCAACTCAGTCGAATGGATCTGTTGCGGCACCCGTTCGCCTACAAAGTCCCCAGGAGGGTGACAGTCCACCGGCCATGCCTTCACCTCCGATTATACGTAGTCCACCACAGGTTAAAAGTCCACCATCAATGCACAGTCCACCGCGTGTCACCAGTCCCCCCAAGGTATATAGTCCCCAGTTGATAAGCAGTCCACCTATGCGTCAGGATGATGTTGATCCCGAGAAGGCGGAAAAACCGTAAGTAGAAGAAAATGTTTTTCAATGTTTATTAAAAGTTTGAAAGGATTTTTAAAGGATATAATGATAAAGGATAATAATTGCAAGGCAATGGGAAATTGAAAACTTAAATTAAAAGATTTAAGGAATATATGATTTTCCAAATACAATGGAATATTTACCCATTCTTTTTGCAAGGCAAACTATTTTTTCTACATTTTCAGGAAAAATGTAGGACAATTCCCTTAAAAACCCATTGGTTAAGAAAACAGGTCAATTTTATGTTTATTTTAGGGTTCGTATGAGTGATATCATCACTTATACGCCATACTTTTGTAGAAAAATCATTGGGGAATTTTTGGTTAAACTATACCAATATTCTTCATTTTTAGGGGAAAATTTTTACGTTTTTGAAGAATACCACTTTTTCTTACGCTAATTAAAAGATCTTCAGTATGAGTAACTTTTCTTATTATTTTTAAAGAAATGTGCCGATCATATTGATATATTCCTCTTTTTTTTTAAAAAAGCTTAATTTTTTATACCCCCCGTGATAGGGCTAAAGTGGGTATACATCATTTGATACGGCCAAATTCGGAGATGAGCTATATCGGCCCACTCGTTCTGGTACCTCCCCCAAAAAATGTCAACATTTTCTCCGATTTTTCTCCAACTTTGCAAATCCTAATATTTGCATCAGTGCCATTTTTTTTCTCCGATTTTTCTCCAACTTTGCAAATCCTAATATTTGCATCAGTGCTAGGTCAGATGCGAAAATGGACAATATCGGTCCACTCCATCAAGTACCTCCCCAATAAAGGACCAAAATTTTGAATAATTATTCCCTCAACCATAGGGCTAGAGAGGGTATATATCATTTGATGCGGTCGAAACGTGCTTAGTCGAAATAACGGTTGTAGAACCTAGGTCTCTTTGGACCAAATCTGTTTCAGGACATTTGGAGTCGATCTAGCGATCTACGTCTGTCTGTTTGTCTGGTGCACACGATAACTATCGAAGGGAGTATCCGATTTGGTCCAAACTTGGTACATCGTAATATTATTGTTAAACTTAGATCGAGTTCGGAGATGAGCAATATCGGTCCATTCCTTCTGGTACCTCCCCCACAAAAGGTTGAAATTTTCAGAAAACATATTTTCTGCACAGAAAGAGAAAGGATAATCCTATTTTGCTCCAACTTTGCAAATCCTAATATTTGCATCGGTGCTAGGTCAGGTGCGAAAATGGACAATATCGGTCCACTCCATTAAGTTCCTCCCCCACAAGGGGTCAAAATTTTGAATAATTACAAGTCTTATAAAATGTGATGTAAGAGTCCTATTGCCTTCAAATTTCACACATCCCAATAATTTTATTAACCCAAGGTCTGGTGCCAAGATGGAATACATGGGTTCACTCTCTTTGGTAACTCCCACACAAAAGGTCGACATTGTCAAAAAATATTTTTTTGCACCAAAAGAGAAACGATAGTCCGATTTTGCTCCAACTTTGCAAATCCTACTATCTGCGTCGGTGCAAGGTCAGGTGAAAAAATGGACAATATCGGTCCACCTCCCCCACAATGGGCCAACATTTTGAATAGTTACAACTCTTATAAAATGTGATGTAAGAGTAGGATTGTCTTCAATGTTCTCACATCCCAATATTTTTTTTTTAACCCAAGGTTTGGTGCCATGATAGAATACATCGGTCCACTCTCTCTGGTACCTCCCACATTTTCAATGAAAAATTGACAATATCGGTCCACACCATCCTGTACCTCCCCCATAAAGGTCAAAGTTTTGAATAAACAAAACTATTAAAAAATCCAAAATATGCATCCGGTTCTCTTCAAATTACACACATCACAATAGTTTTATTAACCTAAGGTCTGGTGTGAAGATGGAATATATCGGTTCACACCCTCGGGTATCTGCCCCACGAAGGGTTAAATTTTTAATATTCATGAAACTCATTCAAACTTGGCCATCTCAATATTTCCATCGAAACAAGATCTATTATAAATATGGTAGAGATCGGATTATTCCTTCAGATACCTCCCCTACAAAGGGTCAGAGCTTTGAATAACCGAAACGATTACAAAATCCGAAATAAGCATCCAGTTCTCTTCAAACTACCCAAATCATAATATTTTTATTAACCTAAGGTCTGGTGTGAAGATGGAATATATCGGTCCACTCCTTCTGGTACCTCAACCACAAAGGGTCATAATATTGAATATCCATGAAGCTCATAAAACCCAAAATTAACATCCGATCCGATTCCATTCAGACTTAGCACAACTCAATATCTCAATATAAAAATGGTAGAGATCAGGCCATTTCTTTTGCTACCTGTCCCACATAGGTTTCAAGATTTTGAAAAACAAAACGCTTAAAGAAAGCGAAATATGCATTTAAACAATCTTCACAAATTTTACATTTACATATGTCATGTAAAGTGAAGGAAGTTACCAATATAGTCCAAACCTGGCACGTCGCAATATTTATATCATATTTATTCAGGTCTGGTAAAAGGTGTGGCACAAATCATTAAAATATCAAATATGTGGAGGTACTGTCATATGGGAACTTTACTAAAACTTAGACCTATATTGATAGTTCTATGCAAGGATGTTTCTTACATAATAGACTGTCAATTTACAGCAAAGCGTTATCAACCTACTTCACTTCGCTCGGAATCTAGAGTGATTTCTGCGGACGGACGGACATTGCTTAATCGACATCGAATATTATGCAGATCAAGAATATATATATTTTGTGGGGTCTTATTTCTATTTCGAGGTATTACAAATGGAATAATTAACTTAATATACCCTCCATACTATGGTAGAGGGTAAAAGGTCATAATATAAAAAATAAAATAACCCATTTGGATCTTCGCTTTTCTGAGATTTTTCGAAATTGTTGGCCCTTTTCAGACGGTGCTTTACATTTTGCTCTCAAAATATAGAGCATACCCCTATACACGGACGAAATACCCTTATAGCTCACAATTTGACCCCATTAAAATTGAGTTCTAAATATAACCCCCGCTTCGTATCACATTCCCAATTAAAATCCTTTATACCTGTTATACCAAATAACAGTATGGGGTCCGTCATAAGCCCAATGTAATCATTTTACAAATTAAGTAATATTTTAAATAAACAATTACCCAGCCATATCTCCATTTCAAAATATCTACTCGAATGTACATCTGGCTGGCTAGATGTCTGTCTGTCTGTCTGCCTATTTGCCCGTCTACCCACAAAAGCTTCACAAATCCTTTCGTGTTATTAAATTCTCTGTAATTGCTACTAATCGTGTGCGGCGGCTGGGCGGCTGCTGCTGCTGTTGATATTTGAACAACCCCAAATTACCGTAAACAGGCTGCAGTAGCAACAACAACAACAGCAGCAGCAGCTGGAAAGACAGTAAAATGTCAAGAGCGTTTAGACATCTATTTAATAATAAAAGTTTCGAGATAACCTCGGTGACTGCTTGTCTGTGTTGAAAATGTGCTAATGACTATTTGCATGCCAAATGGTCGAATGGAGAGAGAGAGAGAGAGCGAGGGCAGGAGAGTACTACACAAACGTAAAAGGACAAGGGGAGAAAGAATAAAAATCAAATTGATTTAAATGTGTCTCGCCGCCTCTTTAGTCGACATTGACCAATGTTATTTTGTTGTGGTTTATTTAATTTTGATGAGTTTTTTTTTGTTTTTTGGCTTTTTCGTTTTCAAATGAAAAATATTAAATCAAAATAGTTTAACCGCAAATTTGAGGCTGAAAGAAATTGAATTTTCGAAATTTAAAATTTTCATTGCATGCATTTAGGAGTTGGCCAAAAATATTAACGTTTTTAAAAATAGAAATAATTTTTTCTCATAAATTAAAGTTTTATTGAAAAATATAGCCTACATTTAGGCGACTGTGCTAAACCTGATGTGAAATATTGTTGAAAGTTGCTCCGCAAATTAGAAATTTTATTGCATGCATTTAGGCGTTTTTACATTACTTTTCACTGTGAAGCTTAAAGGAAAAAAGTAGTAAATCAATTTCTCCATCTTTAAATAACTTTTTAAGCTTCTTCGTTCATCATGCTGATGGCTACAAGCTTCTGCTTCCTGATTCTGAAGTATGTTCTTACATTTTAGATATTATTTCAAAACTGCCTACTCTTGTCATATCATGCACATTATTTTTATATTGTCTTTACTACTCAAATATTATTGAAGAATATTTTTCAACAGTTAACCACCGATAAAAATGATGGATTTTTAGAACGTTTTCAAAGGACAAACAGACTTGATTTTTAAGTATTTTTTTGTATCCTCCACCATTAACTTCGTCATTCCGTTTGTAACTCCTCGAAAAATTAATGTCGGACCCAACAAAGTATATATAATCATGATCAGCGTAAAATTCCAAGTCGACTTTGCGATATCCCTCTGTAATCAAGCTTTCTTTGGGACAAATTGAGATAGAAGACTACAATTTTGCACACATGTGTAGGCAGGTTAAGTTTGTAAATGGGCCATGTCTGTCCACGTTTGCATATAATGGTACCTCTCAACATTCGGTATTTTGATGATTGTAGCGATATTTTTACCGGAAATGTTTCGAATTTGGTATTTGAAGTTCATAATGGATACTACAGCCTAAGACAGAAGATTGTCTGTGCAGGTCCACGTCTTCGTAGAGCCCCCTTATAACGGTACCTCCCGATATTCGGTATTTTAATGATTTTGTGGATATTTTTCACCAGAATTGTTTCAAATTTGGTATTTGAAGTTCGTAATGGATACTACAGCCTATGACAGAAAATAGTCTGTGCAGGTCCACGTCTTCGTATAGCCCCCATATGATGATTTTAGCGAATTTATTCACCGGAATTGTTTCAAATTTGGTATTTAAAGGTCGTAATGGATACTACAGCCTAAGACAGAAAATTGTCTGTGCAGGTCCACGTCTTCGTATAGCCCCCATATAACGACCTTTCCCGATATTCGGTCTT